TAAGGATAATTATGTGAGGGGGATGCTTACCAGCCCCATTTTGAGGTTTTTGTGGTTCTTCAGAGTCGTCTATCCTCCTACACAGTTCATCATAGACATCAGTACTGAGTTCTTGAAACTGTTGTCGGGTCAGTCGAGTGAGTTTATCACGAGGGTTGGTTCTATTCGGAGGAGCTGGAAAAGTGTTGTGTCAGTGAGTGGTGGTTGTGGATTTGATTAGGTAGGACTGAACATTTATTAGATTGGTCGGCTGGGTTATGAAGCCATGAGTGGAGTAGGTCGTAGTGAATTCTTGCGGTGCGTTTGATCTGAGCATCCAGTTGTTCGCTTGAGGCAGGTGAGGAGGCAGGGGAGGATGCTTGTTGGGATGATGATAATGATTTTTGTAGGTTCTGTTGCGAGGGTAGCGGTAAGCCTGTTCGTTGTTGTTGTTGTTGTTGTTGGTTTTGAGTTCTGTGTTCGGATCGTTGTTGGTAGGATGATAGTCCGATCGATTGTGAGTCTGTCTGACTGTGAGGTGGTGTTGGATAACGAGACATTGATGTTGTGCTTCTGCTAATCGGTCTGCTGGGTGGTTGGTGGTTGTTCGTAGGTTTGTTGACCAAGCACGCCCAGCTACATACACATAGTACCCGAAGCGGGTCCTCGGCTGCTGACCCGAGCTTCGAACTACCCGATCTCGCTCCCTGTGGCCGGGTGCCAGGCTGGAGCAGAAATTTGTGTACCTCCAACTAATTAATGTGATCAGAACAGCAAAACCAGAGAATCTGAACAATAAAAAACAAGACATCAAGTCGAGTGGAGGGCTTCTCTGTCACTGGATGGCTTCTCATAGAGTCTCTTCATCCCAGATTTCTCATGATGTTCAGAAGTTTGTCAGATTAAACAGCCAAAAATCTAGAAACTTACACATCCAGTTAAAATCCATATATCCAGAAAAGATGACAACACACATAAAATATTCATAAATTGCGCAGGCAAGTGTAGAATCACCACTCAAATTAGGAACTCATTTTTAAGTAAGCATATAAACTCCAAATTTGAAGTCAAACAATTATGATCAGAACTTGAGAGCTCAAGAATTCTTCAAGCCGGGGTCAGGAAGCAAAGAATAGATTCATGTGAGCTATGCTATTGAGAATTTCAAACTGATGAATAAACAACTTTGAAGAAAGGCTTCAACTGTCAGACACTGAGGCTGTAGCCCATGTGTCTACAACCTGAAACTAACCTACAAGTACACGTAATGTAGTGCACACAGTCCACAAGCGGGTGAATTAATTCAAATTTTGTCACTTTTTTTTGCAGGTGCAGTCACTGCAAAAGTGACAAAATCCAAATTTCATCACCCGCTTGCGGGCTGTGGCAATGGTTAAAGATTGTGTTATGACTTTGTCTCACCAACACACTTGGGTTTAGAGATGGCCCCGTGCCATCCGGATATCCGTTTTTCAGCAGAAAGGGGCATCCGCAGCCGCTGGTGGGTATCTGTTGGCCGCAGAGGGTATCCACGGATACCCGTCCATTAAATTGGTGGTGGGGCAGCTGGCTGGAAGGACTTCCTTCCAGCCGGCCATCTCCTCCTTCTGGCCTCGGGTATCCTTGGGGATACCCGGATATCCACCAGGATTTCACGGAAAAGGGGGCATCCACATCCGCTGGCTGTGGCGGGTATCCACCAGCGGATAACAGGTATCCGCAACGGATACCCGGAGACCATCTCTACTTGGTTTCAATTCCCAATTATGTAATATTATATTTTTATCATTTTATTTTATATTGTATGTTGTAAGTAATTCCACGCAATTACTTAAGTATTTCCCTCTGTATTAATATTCATACATTAGAGAGATTATACATATGTACTAAGAAAGCTTAATCATCTCTCTTATAAATATACACTGTAATTAGAGAGATGAAATCATTCCTTCCCTTTTAAGCTTGAGTTTAATATTAAGTACATATGTTGATCATTCATGGTTATATGCATAAATGATCATTGTCAGGCCTCACCAGTCCCACAGGCAGATTGATCCCTGCCTTTGTAATACTTAAGGGGAAGGCTTTCCTCCCAGGAATCCTTCCCCCCAGAGATTATTACCATACAAACCCGTACACCTTACATCAATAGTGAGTGGGGTTATTATAATCTAAAAATACTATTATCACATCTTTACTATAGTCTCCTATCCTCCTTTTCTCATCCCAAGACTACAGTAAAGTCACTACTGTAGACTAGAAGAGAGTTTACTTACTCTAAGCCCGGAGACACAACACTCATACCACGTACACCCCCTTACTTAAGGGTGCTTCACCCCTCTGCTTACTAGCGTTGAGGTGAGGTTCCATTTCTACTGGCCTTCATAAGGCTATAGTAAGACCCTTCCACCCCATCAACGCCTGATCACCTAAGAGACCGGCACTGACATAAACAGCACCACCTGCTTCCATATTTTTTTTCAAAAACATCAATTTTAAAAACCTAAAAGGGAGATACAGCAAAGTGATTTGCCATGAGGTCAAGAAATGTTGATTATTTAATAATTGGCAACCTTAATTTATTTGCATTTTTTCCCTTTGAATTTAAATTTGACATAGTGAATGTAATGAAACTTGGAGAATGGTACGGCAGTCTAATTATTGATTAAAAAACAAAGAAAATAATCCCTCCAAGTCCTGAAATATACAATCTGATTCACTATGACATAGAAAGAGGGGGCTCGGGGTATTTAGTTTTTTCAGGTGTGCAAGTATCAACATTGGGTGAGCGTATGCGGAGAGCGGAAGTGAGTGAGTGTTGCGGAGTTGTGTCGATGTGGAGAAGGAGAAGAAAAACATTAGGAAAATTGAGTGAACGTAAGTAGTGGATTATTTTTGATTTGATTTGCAGTTAAATAAACACCAGAGATTCCACCTCGGCTTTGATCAATACCTATGAGTACCCAAACATTTGATTCACAGGTGAATCAATTTCAGTGGCATATTCGCGTAGCTGCCTTGGTACAGGCTGCTTGACATAAACATCGAGATGTTTATCAGCCCCCGTCCAACGTTCTTGGATTCTAGATATAAAATTTGGGAGCAAATCTTCTGGGTTGAAATCTTCCTCAGTACTGATGAGCGGATCGTTCCATGGGAAGACTTTCAGTTTGGTCCATTCAACCAACTCGTCTTTCCTCAGCTTTGAAACCATTGAATTGTGTTCTTTGAGCTTGATGAATTCAAATACATTGAAAAAGTGGTCATCCATCGAGAATAGTTTCCTCCATTTAGGGAAATTCGTAAATTTATAGTAATCTCCTAGAGTGTTAATTGCAACTTGAGTTTTCATCGCATCCTCATAGCTAACCGCACGCTGTTCTACTATTTTACTGCCTCGCGGCATGGTTATCCAGCGCTTCGAGTTTTGTTCTTCACTTTCTGGATCTTTTGAAAGATATTCAAAGATCTTTTTTTGGATTGATGATATCGGGTAGGGGCTGCCATCTGATTTCAAAAGAAACTTGTCGTCGGATTCCATTCCAATGTTAAACAATTTGACCAACCATTCGAGAAGTCCTTCTTGCTCTTTTGATCTCAATCCAATGATCTCTTCACTTTTTGCGCCATATTGTTCCGGGTGGCCCTTAGATTTTGTTTTCGGTATGTCGGGTAGGGTGAAAGGTATTAGAAATTGACCATCACGATAGAAGATTTCCTCCAATAAGACCATCGCGTTGCTGAGGACTGTTTCTTGGGGAATCTTTCTCGAATTAACAAGCTCTTGTATCAAGATCGGATAGGCAGAAAACCTGTGGTTGCTATTGAGTCTCTTCCAAAGGTCACTGTTGTGGAGCACGCCTTTATCAAGCAGTCCGTTCTTCCACATCCTTACCCCGGGAAAAACAAGGGTGCTCAACCAGGCAGATCGCTCCAAATCTAAAGTTCTTCCATCAAAAGGGGCTACCTGATTTCCATCCACCTCCAAGTGTTCCTTCAATAAATTTTGCTTTAGTCGCTTTGGGACAGGCTTGGCGGTCTTGGCATTCGATTTTGTCCTCGTTTTACTCCCACTTGTCTTATTATCTCCACGAATTTTTCTAGCCTTCTTCTTGAGGTTCGCCACAGGGGGGTCTTCAAGGGCTTTTCTTTTAGGGTTTAAGCGATCATTTTTCGGATCCTCATTCAATTTCGGACTTGCAGGTTGATCATCCCCACCTGTTTTTTAGAATAGAATTTTCAGCTGGTTGAAAAGTACGCTTGAGCAAAATCCCTCATTGTTCAGAAGTGACTTACTCAGTGAGGTGCCAATCTGAGTGGAGTGCTGATTTTTCAAGGTTGGTGGTTCTATTGCTGAAGCGTGTGTGTCTATAGGTAGGCTTCCTAGGCTTCCGCGATAAGGCGTTGCCCATTCGAACAGTTCATCAATGTTCGAGTGAACCAAGCCTGGAGTGGCATAATCTTCAACTCGAAGCTCATCCAGAGAAGCTGATGGAGTAGGAATGTGATTAGGTTGTGGATGATTCGAATGAATTGATTCTGAAGATGACGATGCGGTTGGTAAGGCTGCAGAACTTTCAGGATGAAAAGGGTGAGCTCCAAATTGCAACAGGTGGTCATCCGTGATGGAATGGAATAAATCCAGGTAGTAGTTTAAACTTCCTGTTGGAGATTGGAGAAGATCTGATGGAAGAGTCGAGGTATAGTCGGGAATGTGAATATGTCTTGATGGCGGTTCTATTAAATTTTTATCAAAACTAGCATGCTGCTGCCCAGACTCCAAGTCTTGTAGGGCGGGCGTGGCGTCGTGGAGCACATGAGTGAAACCTTGGGATGAAGAGCTCTGGATGAAAGCAATCGTGAAGATAAACGAGTTCTTCATAATTTGGTTTATCATTTCCAAGACTCCGGGACAAAAACTAGTTGGACTAATATCTTGATGCGAGTGCGTGTTTCTATTGAGTACGGACTCACGGAGGAGTAAATTATATAATCCAACAGGATCCAACCTCTTCACATCATGGGCTGCATACCCGAATGGCCTCTTGAAACGATCAGCCAGCCCCACAAATCATCATTCCAAGCAGCGTTGCAGGGCGCTCTCCTTTCTCAAAACTTGCTGGATTGTTGGATACATAGAATTTTTTTCTAGACTGAGACTTGAAGCAATGACTGTAAATAGGACAATAGTCCACGTTTATCCTCGTGTATGCAGCTGATCAAATCTCAAGTATTACCTCCGGTACAAGGGATTGTACGGTGGGATCGTTTCAGGAATCCTGGGGAACAAATGAGCCTCAAGTTAATGTGAACTTGTAAGAATATGTCACAAGTGTTTGCATGTTGTGAGCTCCCAACGATTTGGAGAAGAATTGGGTTCTTTTACTATGTTGTAAACTAAATTCTCATAATTATTTCCTTACGTCAGCTCAACAGCCCGGTTCACAATAGCCAGTCATCAGCAAACATTTTAGCTGTAATCAGCAAATCATTGATACTTAAAAACACCTCCATTTTTGAATGTGTAGTCCAGAGTCCCCCAGATTATTCTAGATCCATCCAAAAAATATTTTCCTATCAGCAACTTTTAACAAGGTGATCAGCCATTGGAACTGGCTAATGTGATCCGGGCTAATTGCTCAATGCTGGTTAAAAAAATCATTGTCTTGCTTAAATGGCTTTTTCTTGGCATACATAATTAATCCCCTACACAGAGCGGAGGAGCCGGGGAGCCAGCTCTTTGTTTAAAGCTTTCCTTGTGTAGAAATTTTGGAAGTTGATTTAGATTCAGAGATCTTCAAAATGTCACCCATTTCTTTCATAGGATTTTGTTTTCTGAAGAAATGATCCATTCCTACCTTTACAATGCTCAGCTGGTAGCTATGCTTCCTCAACAACCTTCATTATGATTTCTTCCCCTTTCCTTCCTTGATTGATCTTGACTGTACCTGATTTCATTGAATATCATCAAATCATGCTTATATATCATGCCATATAATGGGTTAGTTAGAATCCAAACTGCAATTATAAATGTTGTTACTATGTAGTTTTTGGATCACCAAAAAGACTGGACTGATTTGCTTTTCCTAGGGAAATAATGAATTTTTGGTATTGCTTGAACAAGTCCATGAACTATTGATTGCATAGTCAAGCTTCAAACCCCATTTAAACTTCCAAGATTTTCATTTTAATTTGATTTTGAGTAGACTTACATTGGAGGACTTCCCGTCAGATCTGGGGCCCTCACAGAATTTGATCCAGACCCAAAAACTCTTGATTCCTGCAGAGAAATTTAAATTTTGAGACTCTAAAACCGGCTCTGGGAGACCCGCAGATGGTGACAGGAAGTCGTCCATTGAAGAGGCATGGGTAGAAAAGATAGAAATTAAATAATGAGAAAAATTTGAATAAATGAAAAAATTAAACTAGAGCTGGTCTCTGGATATCCGTTGCGGATATCCGTTATCCGCTGGCGGATACCCGCCCGCTGTAGCGGATACCCGCCAGCGGATGCGGGCTCGGGTGCGGATGTGCCCTTTCCGCTGATTTTCCAGCGGATACCCGGGTATCTCAACGGATACCCGAGGCCGGAAGGGCAGATGGCCGGCTGGAAGGGTTTCCTTCCAGCTGTCGAGGTACTCGACGGCTGGAAGGAAATCCTTCCAGCCGCCTCGCCGGCCCTTTAAAGGGCGGGTATCCGTGGATACCCGCTCGGATACCCGCTGCGGCCGACGGATACCCGCTAGCGGGTGCGGATGCGGATGCGGATGGCCATTTGGCCTGAAAAAGCAGCCGGATATCCGCATCCGCGCGGATATCCGGATGCGTAGCGACCAGCTCTAAATTAAACAGGTGGAAAGAATGAAAAAAAAAATGGAAAATGAAATGAAGACAAAGTCAAAAAAACTTCAATCAGCAAGGCCCTCTGAATTTGAAATCAAAGTTGATTATCTTTATTTTTCAATGTGAAATAATGGAAATCCTAGGGAAACTTTCATTCTGAAGGAAGTTGCATTCAAGTCAAAATTTACACAAACATATTTCACCAAACAACTTTCCAAGAGAGCATATCAATTTTTGAGATTTTTCTAGAAGAAGTTAGAATTTCTGGTATTGTGAGAATTACATTTGTATCTGATTTAACTTGAGATTTTACTGTGTTGTTGATTCACCTTGGAGTTAGTGTCAACTTTTGTGTCAAATGATTCTCAACATTCCAATCAAAGTGCACAACTTTATACACAAAATCAGACAATATTTTGCTCTCAGAATTAGGTTGTGCTTTATCCCATGGGAACAATTCTAATTTAGCCCATTGATTTAATTTAGTTTTGAGCAGACGATCCATAGTTCCCTGTTGTTCAGAGCTCTTCAGCAAACCAAACAGATTCAAAAATGAACCCTGGGTTGGGAATAAATCCTTCATATTTTTTGAATTTCTGGATTGATAGTAAATTTCTAGAGTATTGATTGCAAGCTTCGTTTTCCTAGCACCAGCATATGTTGCTTCCCGCTCTTCGATTGTTCGACCTTTGCGTGGATGTAGTTTCCAGCGGATAGCCTTTTTATTTCCAACTTCCATATCTTCCTGAAGGTATTCAACCAAATTTGTTTGTAATGTGAAAATTGAGTCTAGTTCATCCTCCGAAGCTTCTGGTTTGAAAAATGAATAGGCATTGGGTTTCATTCTAGTATCAAAAAAATTTCTCAACCATTTCAAAAGATTTTCTTGTTCATTTGATCTCAATTGATTTATAAAATCAGAATCAGTACCGTAGCTGTGATTGTGCTTTCTACCATCGGGTAAATGATCTGCACTAGTGAGAGATACTACAAATTGAAAGTTGCGGTAAAATATTTCATCCAATAAATCTCTTGCCCTTTCAAAAATCACGGCTTCAGAAACTCCTCTAGATGATAATAGAGCCACTCGAGTTAGAATTGGTAATTCATAAAATTTGGTTTTAGGTTGGTGAATTTGCCAAAGATCACTCTTCTGCAGTTTTTCCAAACTGAAAAACTGATTTATCCATCGACGGTTGGGAAAAGTGAGGGTATTTAAGAGCGCAAATCGCTTCAATTCAGAGTCATATAGATCACTAGATTCCGCTTGGTTATGATGTTTTTTCTTTACTCTTTCTGGAAAATTTGGTCCTAGGTGGATTGAAAAATTCTCTGCGTGCTTCAGATTTGATGTTGGGTTGTCTGAATAGCTTCCGCTATCTTCCCCATATCTTGTGTGGCGAATTGCCTTCTTCACTTTCTTTGAAGGTTGAAAATCCACGTTCTGGACAAAATCTTTCCTCTTGGCAGCTGAGAAATTATGTTCGCGGCCGCCATCCAATTGGTTTTCCAAAGGTTGAAAGTGTAGATTCTTGACAAAATAATCCCGCTGGACCGCTAAAGAATTACTCCTGGGTTCCTCGTTCCATGTTTCACTGCTTGCAGTTGTATAATGCCCAGCTATTGCCCAAAATAGTTGCTTCAGCTTCCTGAAAAGTGGAAATCATGAACTGGTTGACTTACACGGCGAGTTAATATCTTGTGTGAAGTGTTGATTGTCCAAAGACTTTGGTTCTTTGGCTCTAGCTTCCGCTGGTAAACTTGGAAAACTTTCAAAGTAAAGTGGGACATCTCCCAATTTGAACCATTCGTCATCCGCGGCAAACTCAGCCAAGCCAAAGGGATTGTAATCTTCGAAATGAAAGCCGGACAAGGGTAATGTAATTTTAGAGGCGTTCTCGTCCAAGGGCGCATGTGCCGAAATTGGTTCCATGAGAGCATGATCATGTTCAGGTTGATACGGCCAAGTCTCTAAATCCTCCAAGGCAGGGATTGAAGTAGGCGGGTAAGATACAACATATGTCAAAAAAGACTGAAGGAGAAAAAAAGCAGAAATGGACGGGTTCTTGATTTTATTCATCATCTGAAACAATTCTGCGACGGAAAACTGATATGAATGCGTGTAAACGGGCTGCAACCGAGTGGTCAAAACCACGGACAGGTCCGATATTTATGTCAATCTGCTTAAGATCTCCCAAATGCAAAGGTGCCCGGGAAATCGATGAGTATACTGGCTTGTGCTACAGACCCTTACCCTTTTGTGTATGTGGTTTCTTCAATGAAGCCTTCTCCTCGCTGGAACCTGAAGCAATAATTGTAATTAGCCAAGCTTCATTACGCAAGTTTGAGGCAAGTCGCTGAGATAACTTCGAGGCAGTGTCGAATATGGTCTTCCATTGCGACCGCTATGGATAGAGAGGGCTCGCCGAAGAGCAGCAGTGCTGGATAAGTGGATAAACCACTGCCTAATTGGGTTTCAGAGCAAATTCGTAGATTTATGCGGTCCGGGGAAATTCTGTCTTCCAAATTTTGGCCTCAAACACATGGAACTTATCCTTGGGTGTCAATTCCCTTCCGCTTAACAACTTTTCATGAAGATAATCTGTTTTTCCACAGGCACATGTTTCTCCATAGATATTGCTTCTATCATAGCATCCATGAATTGCTCGATAGTCAGTCAGTTTCAGAGACAACAGCACCTTCTGATCAAACATGCCTCATCGATAATATGAATAATAAAGAAGCATCTCTCAGCACGACAAGTTCGTCCATTCGAGAGCCATCACCTGCACATACCTTCATGGCGGGTTATTCATTTTCAGAAACCAAATGCTCAGACAAATACTTTTGATACAACTTACAAGCGTTGATTCTTCAATCAACCAATGGATGCCTCGTTATACGTTTTCTTGTGGCCCTTTCCAGTGTCATGTAGTTAGATTTACACATGGGCGTTGATATACGTCCAGCGAATTACGTTTCCACGGGTTGGGTGCTATAATTGCATCGCACGGGAGTAGATTTCACCCCTCTATTACTATAGATGGCTGAGATGATTCCAAGACCACTTGTCTTGGAATCAGAATGAAACAATCAGAATCTAGATTCTAATGTCTTGAGTTGTTCACAATCCAGATGACACATTGAAAGTCAAACATTAAAAATTGAGACGATAAAAGTCTTGCTCGACCACTTGTTCATAAAAGTTGTTGTTTGAACAGGTGGCTGTTGCCACCAAAATTTGAGGAACAGGTTTTTTAATAAAAGTCAATTAGGAAGCTCTGAATCAAGGCGTTGAGACATCAAACATTTAAACGAGTTCAACCAAAACCTAGAGTAGGGACCCAAAACTTTCCCTTCAGGTTCTATTCTATGCATGTCTCTCCGATTCCAGATACTTCCACCAAGTAAAAATTATATTTCATCTACAATGGAAGAGCGAAATTTAAAAAATTAAGACATGCCTTTTTTGTAAGACCGATGCCGTGTTTCGTGCAGGCGTAGCTTTTAACTGACTGATATACTTGCGGCTATGTTAGAGGGAACGCGAACCTAGTTCTTGATCAGACTTCTTGCCAGTTGTCTTGGACCTCTCAGCCCACTTGAGGTGACTCTACTTTTTTCGCAGCTCAGGCCATAGCGATAAATTTGACATCTGTTGCATGTTTAACGCTTCGATCGGAGACGATAAAAGCCAAGTATAATACGAAGTGGAAACAAGTACTACTGGAGGTGTCAAGAGTCTATTCATAATTTTGAATACTGGGGTCATGACTTCGTGATGCGGGAAGAGCGGTGGAGGCAAACAAAGCAGTCATGGCGTCGCTCGGTGAGGCAGTGCTGGAGCCTCTCGATGGAGCCGGTATAGAATCATGTACGGCGTCTCTTGATCCACTGCGGCATGTGTTGTTCCTCTACCTAACATCCTCCGCCCCTTATGGAAAGAGTGCCAGCATGTCATAGCACACATCTTGAATCAAGCTCCAAGGTTAACAAAGCGACGTGCCTGCTTCTGAGTTAGCTTTTGATTCAGTACCACTACATTCCTAACCCACTTGGAATCATTCTTCATCTTCTCAATTATCCAAAGCTCTCAGATCCTCAAAAATGCAGAAGGTGCTATCGTTACTTCTGTTATCGTGCTACCAATTGGCGATTGGAAAAGAGACTTCAATTGAGCCACCAAATACGCAGCATTGCACCCAAGGCTGGAAGGGTAATCCGGGTACCCCAAAGTCATTTAGTAAGCTCAATTAAACAGCCTTGAACGTTGTCCATTTGATTGATGTGGAAAATTATCATGGATAGAATGCATGACAAATCCCAACACAACTTACTCTTGTAAGACTTGCGATACACCGGGTGAGTTGCAGTATTCATATGTTAGACAGAGAATATCACAAGGCAACTCATTCGTATGAACTGATTGCACTTGACTTTCTCAAATTGAACGATGCCTTGGTGCTTCCAAAGTCCCTTACGGCGGGGCTAGCAACTGTTACCGCTATCTCAATCAAACCACTCTCAAGGGGGCGACAGATGATACAAATGTAGGCTCGTTACTTTGCGAGGAATATGTGAAAAGAGATGACTACTTGGGTTGGTCACCTTCTTTCCACTTGCACAATCTTCTTTCTCCTTCAATCACGCTGCAATCTAGATGCCAATACTGACCGGGTTTTGTCTTGAATTGTCTGCATTTAGACTGTAAGAATGCTGGGACAGGTCAAATGTATCAGTGTGATGAAGAGATTTTATTTAGCATTGGTGATTACTCATCATTCTGCTAACTATGGGTTCATTTTGAAGAGCCACTGATCTGACCATGTTTTTGCTACTTTATTCATTCAAATCTAGCATGCAATGAATGTGAATTGACATCCAACTCGAAATTTTAGTGCCTGTCACTCTAGGAAGATCCCTGAATTTCTTTGAGCTCAAAGATTGGGATAAATGTTTGTAAAGAAGTCTTCAAAAATTAGATTCAAGTACTGAAGTGATGATTAGTGACCAACCAAAGGTCCACTTGGCTATTTATCTTTCTGCACTCCAATTGTACAACATCCCTCCATCCCACAAAAGTGGTGCCTGTTAGTCTAATTCTATCATACTATATTCTTTTCAATACATCCATTGCAACTTTTAGACCCCAAAATATCTCTTCTTGAAAATTGTCTGCAAAGGATCCTACCTCCAAAGATACATAGTGTGGTTGTGCAGTCAATCCAGTGCATGTTTTATTTTTTTAGGGGGTTGGAAAAACAACTCCCAAATTTTGGCTGACAACTCTCATTTCAGTCTGCAAGGTGTGGTTGGTGGGAGTTGTTTTTCCAACCCCCTTTTTTGAAGGAAGTGAGATAAATGCAGAGGTGATTAATCAAGGAATGAGGAGCGCATCCTCCCCTCAGAGACAAGAATGCCCTACGTCATATAAAAACTGGTCCACTTTAAATACAATTGGATGGCAATTCAGCCCAAGCCAGCCACTTTATTCCAGCACAACTCCGGGGACCTTTTTTCAGAGTTTCCGGTCCGAAGCGGGGGCTGGGGGGGCCATCGGGGAAGGGGGGGCGGGGGACAGGCCCCGTACCCCGATGGAATATCGATCGGTGTCCGAGTCCAAACGATAAAGAGCCACTTCTCCCTTCCAAGTCAAATATTGCACCAACTATCTCGATCTCGATGTTGGCTCGCCAGTCTCTCCAAAGGATCACCTTCTCGGCTAAGAAGACTTCTGCGATCCTCCTCAGGAATCCGGCTCAGTCGTCCTTACTTCGATTCTTGCCCTGCTCCGATGAATGCATCTCTCAACAACCCATTGTCAGGAGGTTATCATCCTCAGCTCTTAGTCAGTGAGGTTTGGTTGTTCGTTTGAGCTGTCTATTATTAAACCATAGGTATATTTTTAATTTGGTACTAACCGCTTTTTTTTGGCATGAAATCGGTAATAGACTGTGCAAATCCGACCAAGGCGCCAGCTAGCTCGATCGAGCCATTGGGACACCAAAGTCGTAATTTGATCGAGGAAGGCTCTCGTCTATTAGAGAAGGGGGATCTTGAAGGGGCCTTGGAAAAATACGAGGAGTGAGAGCATCCAAAAGAATACATTAATAGAAAGAAAAAGAGAGAAGGAAAGAGAGTGATTGAATGCTGATGAACGGCATGATATAGGGGTATCGCGATGGTGCCGAGTTCAACGGGATACTATAATCTAGGCATAGCGCTCTATCAATTGAAACGTATCCCGGAAGCCATCGAGGCCTGGAAGAAGGCTCTAGCGGACGGCCCATCTGCGGATGTGCACACCAATCTGGCCTCGGCATACATCCTCTCCAAGCCACCGGAGCCGTTCAAGGCGCTCGAGCACCTCAAGAAGGCCGTCGAGCTCGACCCGACCGACGGCGAGATCTGCTTCAACCTTGGTGCGGTCAATGAAGCCAGTTGGGTCGCTCTCCAGCTCTGTGATTCCTGACGGCTCCATCTTGAACTAACCTGATCTGCCTCTGTGTCTCTCAATCCTAATCAGACGATCACCTCGCCGATGCTCTTGCTGAGTACACCCGCGCTCGACAACTAGGAGTCCAACGGGCCGAACAAAATATCCGCAACGTGAGCTGACCAGTCACTCTACTCTTATGATTTACCACCAACACTTTCCGCGTTTGGGGGCGACTCATTTACCCCTTTTTTTCTTCTTCTTCTTCTTGGTTTGCAGGTCGGCGCAAAGCTGTTGCGGAAACGGCTCGAAGAAGAAGAACGAGAACAGGCGGTCAAGAAGAAGTAGACCTGCTCTCTTTCCTCCATTGTACCATCACATATCAAAAAAAAAAAAAAAGAAGATTTCCTCTTGCATACCCATCATACATTCAAGGCCACCACCAAATCCGCGACCCCTCATGCTCTCATGTCTCTATAGACCAGTCGAGTTCGATCTCCTTAATTTCTGCTTGTGTTATATACGGCTTCCTTCATCCCTCTAGTAGCAGAAAAAAAAAGATTCATATGTTGGAATCTGAGAGTGAGAGATCCACTCACAGAATGTTTCAAGTGAGTATTGAGAGGTATGGAATGTTTATCTGTTATGCTTGCCCGAGCAGATGTAGTGTATAAAGAGCCTGCCATCCTACATACCTTTTTTGTCTGTCAATAACTCAACATTCAGAAACTCCCATCGCTGTTCCTATCCATTGCAGGACTTGACCATGATCTCTAGCCTCTCATCTAGAACCTGTAAGCCCCATTGGTCAATCAATCAATCAATCCATCAATCTTGATTCTCTAGAGTTTATGCTTGCACTCTTTCCAGAGTTATCATACAGCAGGTGTGTGTGTTTGGTGTGAAGATGCACAGTTTGTGAGTCTGCCTGAGTCCGGGGAACTGTGCACAATGTGGGCATATCATATTCCGTGTATGTTCATACATAGTGAGGCTGTGCTGACTGCGAAAACAAGAATTCTATGTTTGGGTGATCCCAGTTTTGGTGTTCCTCCACTTTTTTAGGCTTTGACAAACAAATATAATTTGTGCAAGGAGTTTGCAAAGGAGGATGTGTTTGTAAATCGTGATTTGGAAGTCTTTGATCTAAAATAGAGTTGAGTAAATTCAACTTTGACTCTGAAAGGCTTTTAAGGTTTTGTTTGGTGTGAGAGACGACTGTCTGGGGATGTCTGAACGACGACGAGGGTGTCAAGGGTCGGTCGCTGTCTGGACCACTTGAGCTGCTTTTTTCAGCCTCCCTGCAGCTGTGTTGACTTTCCCCTTCCCTCCCTCCCTCCCTCCCTCCCTCTCTCCCCCCACAAAACAACAACTTGACCAACTAGAACCACTCAACACACCACACACACACTCACACTCACACTCTCAAAACAACAACAACAACAACCATCCTCAATCCGACCGCATGCTCAAGTCTCTCGATCGACTGGATCACTCAGCAACAACTAACCACATCAACCTCAAACTACTCAACCCTTCATCACCTGCAACCCAGCTACTCAGCCCAACAACCATCAACCACTCATCACCCATCATCAGCACTAACGGCAACAACACCGACTCAAAAATCATCTCACCCGATAACCCATCATCATCCATCCATGCATCCAAACCATCCAGATCGAAACGAACACCCACACCACCCATACGAATACCAATCGAACCTGGACACTGTCTCGTCTTTGGTCGCAAACCTGACATCTCCGCACTCGCAAACGAGCTCACCCCCAAATCAACCATGCTCCCCATCACCCTCCCCAAATCATTCACCCACGCCTCTCGCACCCACTGTCTCTGTACGCTCATCGCCCCCCCTCTAGGCGGACTGAATATCAGGATCGTCGTCAAGGGTCAGAACGGTCTGATGGTCGATGGAGAACGCTTTGAGGAAGGCTCGAGTGCCGGAGTCGAACTGGAACGGCGCGATGGCGAACAGATCGAGCTCGGCTTTTACGGCGGTAAGAAGGTCGAATGCTACGTCAAGATCGACGACCACTCCGTCCAGCGCGTACGGGCACGTCCTAACGCTCATGGGCAGACCAACGGCACTAGTAATAGTAGTACCACAACCTCGAACATAGACACGACGACGACAACAACAACAACAACAACGACAACGACAACGACTGGCAATCGACCAAAGCATTCAACTAGTACTCGAGGCGGAAAACGAAAGATGCCTGGTGGAGCGGCGTCCAACTCAACCAGACCTGATCCCACCGCTTCTAAACTGAAACAACAACAGAACCATTCCTCCAAACCAGAACCATCCTCCCCTACCACCAACATCCCCCTCGAGAGCCCAGCCGACACATCCAAATTGCCCCCCTGGAAGTACTCCTCCGATCCTTCAGCACCCCCGCCGCCTGATCGAGGGATGATGAGTCCTCCCCCCGCCAAGAAGCTATGTCTCTCCCCAATCCCATCGCCACCCTACGACCCTCAGATCCACAATCTACCGCCAGGTGATCGAGTGCGCAGTGTGATTGAGTCGATGGGCTTAGATCTACTCGGGCTGATCGCCTCTGCTGTCGTCTTCTCCTGCCGGGCCACCGTCAGTACCACCGAACTCATTCGAGCCGTCCTCGACACCCAGCCCACCCTTGCCGAGGCCGTCCTAGCTCTCCTCCCCTCATTCAGCTCATCCCGCTCATCACCTCGCCCGACTCATCGAGCCTCTGACGAATTCGAGCTTGCCATCAAGAAACAACGCGAGTGTCTCTCCGCTCCTCTCCCCTCACTCTACCTCCCACACGACGACCCATCAACAGACACCAAACCATTCGAGTCTGCTGCTTCTACCACCACTGCCACTGCTACTACCGATTTCAAACCTATCCGTCATCACTACGGCTCCGAAGGCGGCCCAGCTGACTCTCCCACTCTCGACTTTAGTCCTCCCTCTGACCTCAAAACTGATCGGATCGTCAATGCCTGTCGTCCGATCATCCTCGAAACTCTTCGCTCTCATTGGAGAGCCAATGGATCTGGGATGTTTGGATGTGTAACTAATGAAGGCCTCAAGGTTGGTCTTAATCCATCTCTTACTCTCATCCTTCTCCTCCATTTTCACTCACCCCTTTGTTTCTTTTCTCTTTCTCTCCCTCTGGGTCTTGTCGTCACATCAAAGGACGCTTCTGGTGAACCCCTGGAAGCTCTTTGGTATTATCAACCTCAACATGACTCAGACAATGAACGCAGACTCAACCTTCAACCTTATGTCAGACACGTCCGTCATACTCAAACTACTTCAAAACAGGTACATTTCATTCCTTCTTTCCCCCCCCCCCTTTTTAAACAAAAGAACTACGTCGTGTGTGTCTTGTGTACTGACTTGTTTACTTTCTGTCTCTTTTTTTTTCCTTTTTTGGCCACAACACAAAAAAACTCTCTATGTTTTCATTGTTCATTTTATTATTGATGTCTTGTTATATATAGTATTTCTTCAAAAAAGTTAGAGGGTCTGGCCGACGGAAAAGTTAGCACACACACCAACATCCTGCCCCCAACCCACCAAACATGCACATATACAATCATACATCCTAATCATCCATCGCCTGTCCCCTCCATTCTCATCTACCTCAAACAAGTCCCTTTTCTTAGCCTTCTCCTCTTCTCTCAACTCCTTCTGATGCCAAAAAAAAAATGTTAATGATATATGACTGTTATCATCCAAACCTTAACCTTAACCCTTAACCCTTAACCTAGCCCCTGAACTTAGCCAAAGTAATACAAAGCTTATTCTCTGGTCTGACGGATCACTACTAAGAACCGGCTCAGTTTATTTCTCTCTCTCTCTCTTGTTCTTGCTCTTGGAGTTGGTTTGGGTGTCTATCTATCTCTCAGTTCAGATATTTATACATACTTTAGCACCCTCTTCTTTGCTTCTCCTGTCTCCTTCTACAAATAAGGCTTTTTTAAGTCAACCTTATTTATTTATGTATATGTATGGTAGGCTAAAACACCTTATGCTTCTCTTTGTTCTATATTTATCCACCTCTTTATCACTCTCATCTTTCCCCTTCTACCCTACCCCTAACCCAGCCACTTTGTCCTTCTTTTCCTTTGGGTCTGAGTCTTTTTTTTCTTTTTTTTCTTGTGGCTCTTATTTTTTTTTGTTGTTGTTGTATGAAGGAATTAGTGGGTTGAGAGAGAGAGAGAGAAAAAAAACCAGAGATATAAGATGGGTTTTCTTTTTTGTGGTGTTTGTTGGTTCTTTTCTTTTCTTTTCTTTGGGGGGTTTTTATTATTGTGACTCTGAGAAAGTTAGATGGTTTTTTGGGGGGGGGGTGGGCTTTGTGTTGTCTGGCTGGTCTCTCTGTTTGTCTCTCTGTTTGTGTGTGGATGTACCAAAAACAAAGGGGTGTGATAGAATATTTAGCAAGCTGAAACAAGGGTTTTTTTGGGTTCGATATTCTTTGAGTGTAATGGATCTGGGCCTAGCTTCCCAAAAAGCCCTCTTGCAGGTCTTCTGGGGGCTTTGGTCCGGAGCATGTTCTTGGTAAGATAGGCTGATGATACATTGGTTATAAGCTTGCCATGTAATAGGCATCTCCAACCCCTCAAAAACAAGAAGAAGAAGAAAGGAAGATAGCTTGTGAACCTTGCTCCCCACAAGCTTGTGCAAACATGTGGCAGGATTACATGGTCCTTAGTGTTGTCTCATATTTAGTCCTGGCTGCTCAGTACCTCTCCTAGTCACTAGCATCTATTGCCTACCAACTAGGCGGGTATCTCCATTTCCCTTTCTCTTTCTCTGGGCTCTCCTCTTTCTCTTCTATCTCTTACATACTCTCTGGGCTCTATCTCAGGTGTCCTTACAAGCACCTATTTCCTACCAACTGGTTGGGATTTATATCAACTTTGATACTAGAGCTGCTTGGGCTTTCAGCTCTCTATATAAGTGCCCCATCTGGTTGACAGTGTCCTTCCTTAGCAACACATTGATGAGCAGTTTTTGTCTCAATGGGCACCCACACCCAAAGGTGCTCGAAGTCAAAGAACAAAAATAAATTGTGATTGAATTGAATCGGTTTGGTTTGAAGTGTGTAACAGAATCCTGAGGGGGAAGGATATCATATTCAATTGCACTGACAATCACTCTTCAGATTCGCTAGTGTGAAATTCTCGGGAATCAAGATGTGTGTACATATTTTCATGGATCAGGATCTGCATACATCTTTTGGTTTGTGGATAGAGAATCCACTAGGCATCACAGTCGTGGATTTTGGACGTTCTTTTTCATGAAACAAACAGTTTATTTTATCTGTCACAGCATTGATGAAATCAAATGGATCGTTTTTCTTTAATGTAGTTAACAACAAGAAGTTCATATTAAGTCCAGGAAATGTTGCCAGTGAGTAGGAAAAAAAAAACTTGATAACCTTGCATTCCAAATCATGTAGATTGTCAAGGGAAAGAATTGGTGACATGAGATGAATCTTTTCCAACGTAGAAGAGAAGAGAAAGAGAGTGGTATTTTGAATAGGCACAGAGGCAAAGTCTGGTGAGCTCAAGAGTGGCACAGATTTGAAATAACAGAGAACCCAATGATTGATCATGAAAGATAGCACTTGTATCTGTAAGAGCCGGAATTACATACTGATTATTAATATGTGTATAGAGAGAAATCGGAAGGGATTCCTGATACAATAAGATACTCGGAAATAAGTACTAACGCACGTCCATTCTGAAAGAAGATTTTGTTTGACATAGGCAAGAAATCGGTAGGTCAGGGCAAAGGTCGAAGGAATCTCCAAGTGGAAAGCGAAATCTTGTTGTATTTAAGAAGTCTTGGTTATCAGCTATTTCCTCTTTTCTTCTTTTCTCTAGCGCAATATTTTGTTTTCTCCTTTATCATTGCATCTCGCAAAAACCATTATACAGTATTTTGAAGCCTTCAATTATCAATCTGATAAAGACTGCAGCCTGTTAGTTGTCATTAGCTCGTCTGTTCGACATTCTTCTTAGACATTCTGTCTTTGGCGCGTCTACTGTAATACTCTAGTCATTACAGTATCTAGCTGTTTTACATATTCAAGTACAGGTGTCTGTGAAAGCTCTCAGCATTTGTGAAGTTGTATTTACATGATCTGCAACTATATTCCCTGTTTATTACCACTCATCACTGTAACAAATACACAGGAGTAATTTCATTGTGGTTTCCATGTGTGGTACTGCTCAATATTCAAACCTGTAGCATCTTGATGAGATTTGCCACTACAAACAATTGTGGTGCATAAATTTTCTTACCAAGTACAATTTTCTCACAGAGAATTACCTCAAAGCACTTGGCTTGGTCCTATCAGTGAGCCACTTTCTCAAAACTTTTGATTAGATTTTGTGTTATTTCTTTGTTGCACAACCTTATCAACTTCTTTGAGGTTGGGAATTTTCCTTTTTGTTTCAAAAAAAACAGGACAAATTGGTCAACAAGCAACTCAACACCTTCTACTAGGAAGATCAGAATTTATACCATGTACAGCATAACACATATTCTCATGGTGGCAGCATTATCTGGTATAGGTTTTTACAATGTTCAAGCAGGAGAGGGTTTGATGAAAAACATAGGTTCTGGATTGCATGGATTTTCTACAAAAGATGAAATACAAAACACAAGTGAATTTTCCAACTCTTCTGTTTTCTAATTCTTGAGCTTTCAACTTATTTCTTGATTTTATTTTTATTTTTGTGAATGCATCAATTCCCCTATCAGTTGGTTCATCTGACTCGCAGGGAATAAATTTTACAAGCCTCAAAGACAGCACTTTTTTTGAACATGCTCACCAGAAAATGGCAAAGCGTAGGAAGATTTCTTGTGAGCATTATTCCTTTTCTGTTGAACCAAGAATGATTTTTGTGGTATGTAAAGGATACCATAATGAATGTGAGAATGATTTCTAGTATTACAGCCAAGAGTATCAATTTTTCTTGATAATTTCAACTATCATATGCAACCCTACTTGAGACATAGTACTCCCAAGGTCTCACATCAGCTGATGGGGCATTTATCTGAAATGGAAAAGAATTTGATTGAAGTTTATATGGAAGGTGAATCTGAAAGCAACATGGGAAGACAATCATTAAAAATATTTGGTGAATTTTTTCATGAAGCTCAGTCTCCAGGAGAGATATTCATAAATGAATGGGAACATATTTGGGATAAATTGGCCTTGATTGAACTCCCATCTCCAAAACCTGATGCTTTTGTCCAGTTGGAGGAAGTAATGGTCCAATTTCTCAATGACTCAGTAAAGTACAAAATTATCAGCATTAGTAAAATCAAGGCTTTTCTGGGAAACAAAAGAGGCAAGGCTCTAATGTTGAACTTCATGAACAGGAAATTCCTTGAGGGGGAAACAATTGAGGATTTTCTCCTCAAATTGGACCTCAAGTTAAGCATTCTTGAGAGCTCATCAACATTTTATTATCAACCAATACTCAGATGTAAGTAATAAGTTTATTATCTTTTTGCTTTTGAATGTATCCAAAGCTAAAGTTCCAAATAGTCTGAATATTTTCTTATTTTATTTGGTCAGTCCTTGACAATGAATTTTGGGAGATGTTGAATTTCAATTACCTTTGTGGTATTGTTAAAAAATACCCATGGTCATTATCTGGAAGAATAAAAGAGGTGCTCAAAATTATGGAAGGTAAATTAGTGAAAGTCCAGTCATCTGGGGATAAAGAATTTGCCTTTTCAACCCTGAGAGCTGACATCAACTTTTCAAGTGCTTTGAAGAATCTTATTTTTGGAATCAGAAAACTCAAATTTTGGGGAGATAAGCAGAATCAAAATGACAGATTGAACTTCAAGCTTATGCATGACATAATAAGATTCATCACAAGTTATCACCTTCAAGATATCTCAGATGATTGCTTGGCTGAAATTAGAAAATCAGATGATTACCAGTATTTCAAATTTCTTGAGGAATCCATATGGCTTCTTGCCTACACAACAAATTTGTGCCTGAATTCTCAAATTTTTTACAAAATCAGAGCAATTTTGATCATGAATCCAAATTCTAATGAGTCTCATGTTCAAATATTGAAAGAATGGGAGTATAACATGTATATGTATAAGCCAGAAAACATGCGTAAAGTACAATTCACCCATCAAAGGCAACCTCCAACTCAACAAACATTCCTGACACTTCCAAAAGAAGCTTTTCTTGTGACTTGGGAACAAAAAATTCATGAATGGAAAATTAGAATGAACCACGCTCCAACATATCAAAAAAAGAAATTGAATGATGCCAAAGAAGTTGCAAACAAAAACTGGGAATTGGCATTTAATTGGTGGAAACAACAATTTGAAAATTACTATATGACTAGAGCTGAACTCTTCAAAAATAAATCACAAGATCAACTCTTTGATAATTCAGGAATAACTGAAGCAATCAACTTGTTGATCAATAAATCAATTGATGAATTCCATTCCCATATGCCCAAAATTGATCCTCTTCAAGAAACTTGGTATGGAATGAAAGTACCAACAATTCCATTTGTTGAGCCAAGATTAAATTTTAAATACACACAAATTTCTCAGAGGACATCAAATTCTTAAAATTCAGGAGGCAATAAGCACAATGCTGTGGTATAAGCTCAAAGGAAACTAAATATGAGATTCAAATTAACATATGATCTGTATATATTTCCCATTCATACAATATATATAGGGGCTTGGAAAAACGACTCCCAACAACTGTCAGTTATGGGCGGATTTTGGGAGTCGTCCACCCAATTTCAATTTCATTTTCTTTGGGGGGGGGGAGTCGACTCCCAAACCACCCCTCATGTATGAGGGGGTTTGGGAGTCGCTCCCACTTGACCGGAAGGGGTTGAAGCTGAACCTCATCCCCTTCCGTTTGATGAGGAAGATTGAACTCATTGACCAGAAGGGATCCCTTCCGGTCGATGAGGTTTAGCTTCCTCATCGACCAGAGGAGTCCTTCCAGTCAATGAAGCCCTTGCTGCGGACCCCCCAACCTCATCGACTGGAAGGGATCCCTTCCTGTTGATGAGGTATAGCTTCCTCATCCATCGGAAGGGATTCCTTCCAGTTGATGAGGAGGCTAAACCTCATCGACCAGAAGGGATTCCTTCCGGTTGATGAGCTCCATCTTCCTCATTGACTGGAAGGGATCCCTTCCGGTTGATGAGGGACATCTTCCTCATTGACCGGAAGGAATCCCTTATGGTCAATGAGATTTACCTTCCTCACTGACCGGAAGGGGTTCCTTCGGGTCAAGTGGGAGCGACTCCCAACCCCCCCCCCCCCCCTCATACAAAAAATAATAATAATGAAAATAAAAAAATTGAAATTGAAATTGGGTGGAGGACTCTCAAAGTCCGCCCATACTTTAGAAGACAACTCCCAACGGACGTCTGCTGACGGTCGTTGAGAGTTGTTGGCAAAAAAACAGGAGTCGTTTTTCCAAGTCCCTATATATATTGACATTTTTTTGGCACATACTAACCAAAATGTGTTATGATTCCTGTAGAGATGGCCCTTGGCATCTGCTGGGTGCCTGACACACTTTCAGTCAGTAATGGACCCTCCATGTGCACTGGTGGCTGTCAGTGTGGAGGGCCTGTTCTGAAAGCTTGATAGATACCTCCCATGAACAGGTGAAAAGTGACATCTCTAGATGCCTGTATCAAGTGTATGCTTCTACCTAGTTTTATATAGCTCAGTATGTCTCACATTATACTTTTATTCTGCACTGAATCTATACTAGCTTTATATTAAGTGATTGTTCCTCATCACCAGATCTGTGAAAATTCAGTCCCACAGCCTGTGTTCCTGCAACAGGTTATGATCCCTTTTTTGCCCTATGTGCCAATATCCATTCCCCAGACAGTCAATTAAATCAATAATATTTGTCTTTTCCAATGTAGAAATTCTGATTAGAATAGTAAGAACAGAAAAAAAATATGTGTCTAAGGACACTCAATAGCCCTTTGCATCTTATTCCCTTGAACCCATTCCTGGAAAGAAACTCAGTCACCTTTGCAGCATGGAAATCTTGTCTTTGTGATGTTCTTCCATTAATGAATGTTCTCAAAATCATTGATAAATCCCCCCTTAGACCATTGTACCTGGTACCCATTCGCAGGTACCTCCCAAGCCCCACAGGTACCCACTGGCGGTTACTTGGTCAAGTTTTCCAATAATATAGATTTCAAAGGGGAATATTCATCTGATAACCTGACCAATTTCATTTATCCAATTTTCAAATATTGGTATTGTTATAACCCTAAGACCAGTTACAAGATACTGCTTGATAACATAACTCAAAAGTTTCCATTACAGTCATGTTTACACCACCAATTATGAGTAACATAACTTCTCAACGCTGCTCCAAGATACCAAACTCTTGGATTCCTCTATCATAACCTATGTGAGCACTTTTTGGTAGGCTCAATGCAGGACTCAAGGTGTCATAACAACCTGAAAGAATTTTGCTATTGGAAAGACTTGCATGGTAGGCACACAATAGTAACTACATGGAATTTGTTTACAAAAAATGTGCAAGTTTGGCATATTACATTCTCAAGAACAGTGTGTAACTCACACCAGCATTAATATTCTACCAGAGAAGATTGATGGATCATGTGGTGTATGCAAATACAAGGAGCCCAGTTTAATGGGAAAGTTGAGAGTGGGTGGAGGGAAAAAAAGATACACAGTCATCTTGTAAAAAGGAAGCTTACGTCCAACACATTTACATAGGTTATGTTGCACATTTCCACAGAGGTACGGCCAGATATGCCATCCAGATCTGCTTATCTGTCAGAGGGTGGGTCATGATTCTTCAATCCTCATCAGATGCTGCAAAACAATTGTTACATGCTGATAGTTGGGGTAAGACTTGTGTCAGTTTGCTGGGATAACTTCTTTCAATTGAACAAGAGACTCACACTGCCTGTGACTGTTTTGTGGGATGTATGGACATCCATATAATGTGTATCCAACGTGGGCCTCTACAAAAGGGGGGGGGGAGTCATAAGCAATGGTTCAAATGGGATTTAGACTTTGGTTAGCCAATCCTAGAATCGTAGTTGGAACATATTTACTTACCAATATAATGGGGCCCAGTGGTGTAATCATTTGGGAAAATGTAGCGTAATTTGCCTGTTAAGCTCTTGTCTGGTTTGACTTCCTGGCAGAGGAATTGAAAGTCTGACAGTCATCCAGCCCAAGTGTGTGACAGGAGAAGAGATTACAGTGATTAATAATAAGATGGAGATTCCTTGCGGGGTCCAAGGGACAAGTTACTTGGTATGATAGCAAAACATTCGTGACTCACTCTGTTGGCAAGAGTTTTGTTCACATTTGTATGTTACCTTGTCCATGCTGATACATGCTGCAGGCAAATTTGGAGTTTTCATAACGAATCAGAAGATGTTGCGATGGGGAGTTACTTCGTACGGGGGGCACAACTGGTGCTTACTTGCATCAGTAAATATTGAGTTGTCCATATAGTGTACATCGCAGTTGTGTTGAGGTTGCAGTCTTCGCACAATAGAAGGTTCCTGCAATTTTATAAGCTGAACCGAGGGCAAAAGAGGCATCCCGAAGACTGCATAGATGATGAACGAGTTGGGGATCAAATCTTTCAGAAACATGGTTGGTTGCGACTTGGAGTGAAGGCTGATCTGCGTGTAGGTGGGAAGGCGAAGCTGGGCCCCTAGACTGGAGTTCAGTGTCCCATATAAGCTGTTCACCGTACCGCTTGTGGCCGACAACCTCCGACAACCAAACGTTGCAACATTGCGTTGTTGCATTGTTATTTGTGGCCCGTTCCGCCGCCTACATCATAAAAGTTCCGTTGTAGTAGGGCCCGATTTTGCCGCATGTGCCGCGGGCGTGTTGCTATCAAACACTTTTTCTTCCAGGCATCCTATATTCCTGCTGCATCCAACAACTAGGACTCCGCCCGCTGCCTAAGCATCTTCATGGTGTCAAGAGCCTCATCGAATGATGCCGCCCCACCCTAGTGACTCGAGCTTAACGCAGCTTGACTACATGTCGCCACCCAGCCGGTGTTAAGCCTACTAGAGACCCTGAGTCCCTGACGCAATACTATGGTCTGTCTGTGACCCAACCCAACCGTTGCAATGGCGCCACTCCGATGGCCAAGTTTGGTTGACCGTCCGAGGCAGCCCAAGACCCGAACTTAACAACAAGCCTGCCGCTAGAAAACAGGGCATGTGAGGTAACAGACCAATCAGCTACCCATATTCCCGCCAGCAAGCATCCGAGCATAACAACGCCTCTCGAGTGAGAGCCCCAAAGGGGCAGCCCTGCAGGGTCTCTGTCTCACGAGCCTCCTTCGGAGGCTCGCGCGCCCCGCCTCCCAGAAGGTGGGACTGTTTCAGAGCATCCACCCCCGTTGAGGTAAATCTTTAGGTAGCTAAGGAGCCCTACAGACCTCTTTTGCTAAACTACAGACCAAACCCCCCCTCATCCATCTGTAAGCGGCTCATTAGCCAGCTGATTAAGCTTACAGAGGGCTACTCCACCCTCGTGTCCAATTGGTATTTGGTACATAATTAGCTAGAAGAAACATTACACACATCACCCTCCTCCATGACACCGACTGGTCATCGGGGAGAGCACAAATACACCATCCTCAATGACCAGTCACAACTGATTGTTGAGGAGAGTGCATACCCTCCTAAATGACCGGTTGGTGCTGCCACTGTTCATTGAGCAGAGCACACCCTCCCTAATGACTGGAACCAAGCGGTCATTGAGGAAAGAACAGAGCCTCCCTCAATAACTGGTTCGGTCATTTAGGAGAGTACACACCCTCCTCAGTCACCTCTTGACCGGTTGGTGCCAGTCATTGAGGAGGGTGTGTACCCTCCTGAATGACCGGTTAGTACCTTTCATTGAGGGTTTTGTACCCTCCTCAACGACCGGTCAATAGTGGTCATCAAGGGAAGACTTCCTCTCTTCTCAATGGCTGGTTGGTACCGGTCGATCAGGGAGTATCACCGGTTGAAAGCGGTTTTTGAGAGAGTATGGTTTCCTTGAAAACCGGTATAGATCGATCATCAAGGGATTATGTTATCTCCTCAATGACCGGTTTGTACCGGTTGTTTGAGGGGTGTTTTGTCCATGATGACCAGAATAGACTTGTCATCGATAGACATGGGTTGTTTAGATGAGAGGACTGGTGAGGTGGGGAAGGGCAAGGTTGAAGGGGATGTGGGAGTGTGCTATGTAGCCTCTCTGTAAACTGGGCCTAAAGAGGCTCGGTAGGGATTTGTAACTTTACGAATCCTTACAGACTTACAGAGTGTCCCGTTAGCTACAGAGCGCTAAGAGCATCTTTACCGGTTGAGCTAAAAGCCAGTGGTTTTAACTCGCGGCTATTGCTAAGCTACTATAGCGAAGCCTATTCAGCCACACCGGTGTGGCATGAGGTTAAACGGTGTGGTGTGGTTTGAAGTAGGGGTGTGTGATTGTGTGCGGGAGGGCACCAAAATGAAGCACACTCACCGGTTTTTGCTTTTAGCTTGCTTGCGAGCTAACCGTTGCTAGATCTAGCAACGGTTAGCTCGAATCGGAGCCGCGAGCTAGTTTGACTTGACTTTAGCTCAGCCCGGTGTGGTTGAATTTCGCGGCTAAAGTCCTTAGCTCGCGCGGATTTAGCCACCGATACGGATGCTCTAAAGAGTGCACGATGGTGGAAATATCAAAAAAAGTTGGGTAAATCACGCTTACCGGGCGGGTTTACAGAGACGAGGGTGGATGCTCTCCGTTCGGCAAGCATCCCGGTTGGTCTTGTGGTCGTTAGTCTTAGTTGACACGCAAGACCAAGTTAATGAATTGAAGGCATAAATACGCACAAGGGGCGTTCGTATTGAAAAACCCATCGTTAGCAGTTAAGCTCGAGTGAGAACCTGCGCCCAGTTGGAGGAACCGGCCAGTCTCATCCATGTGGCATTCTTCGAGATTGACGATATCGCTACTAGTTATCGTAATCTATTGTCTATGTAGTCTTTCCATGCGGCCTGCAACAAAGCTATCACATCACACTCACAGAGAGAAGGATTGGTCTGACTGCATGGACCAGTCATCGGGTTCGGGGTGATCATACATAGCGCAAGTCGCGAACTCAGCCGGGATCAACTGAAGTCCCGAACGGCAGCACGGGAGATCTGCTCCTCGCTGGCTGATCATCAATTCATCCCGGCCGATCCCCATGATGGCTCCTCAGAAACTCTGACAGCTTATCAATTAGAGCATTCGAATGTTTGCCTTCCTGTGGTCTGTTTGGCTGATGGAATTCTCTCAAATCAAACTGTCTCCACATTCGAAACCAGTGGGACAAAAACATAATGAGAGGGTCATTTTTTACTTGAAGCCGACCAATACATACATACGACGGAAGCGCCCGCCAAAGTTACCGATATTTTTCCTCTGGGCATAGGCAATCATGACCACTTCATTTCATCCACCACCGCCAACACCCACACGAATCGATCTAACCGGAATGATGGAGGAGGCTGTCGAAGCAGAAAACATGGAAGATAAAAAACTCCGACATATGAGTAAAGATGACCAAGCATTGGCTAAACTAGGCTATAAATCTGAATGTAAGTCCTCTAAATCAAAATTAGTTGGGGCTTCTATGATAGTGATATACTAATTTTTCTTCAATTTGTCCACTGGTAAAATCGATTCCTACTTTTTAGTCAAGCGTGAGTTTGGATACTTTGGAACATTATCCTTCGCGTTTTCGGTCGTCGGTTTGAGCTCTTGTGTCACAAGCACCGTCAGTACCTAAGACTCCTACTGTTTGGATTCACTTGGAAAAAAAAAATCGAGTCAAATAAGAATAATCCTTTCTCACTCTATCCTTGTTATTTTAACCAGTTCAACACGCCCTTTCTGTCAGCTGGGCCGGCTGCAGTAATATGGTGTTGGTTGATTGGTCAGTACATCATCAAGAACCCCCTCCTCAAAGAATTGCTCCACATTTTTATCTAATAATGATGCCTTCAAACTGGAATCTGTCCGGACTTATCTCCATCAATTTGATGATGTCTACAAAAATTAGGTTCAGTGATGTGTATGACTATCGCAGCCTCCGTCGCCGAGTTAGTATCTGCATTCGTGAGTACCTTGATGCATCTTGCTATCTATTTCTGAATTTTAACCCGCTAAGAAGAAAACAAAACGAAAATCCAGTTAACAAACGATTACCCCTAATTTCGATTTGCATTTGCTATTGAGCATCTTGTAGCCAACTTCCGGAGGACTGTATAGTGCGTCGGCCTTCTTAGTCCCGAAAAGATTCAAAGCCCCCGTTGGCTTTCTAGTGGGTTGGTTGAGCATCTTGGGACAGATCGCCGCGGTGGCGAGTGCTGAGTTTGCGTTGAGTCAGATGATTTGGTCGGCTTATACGATCTCGCAAGATGGGAATTATTCGCCGTAAGACTAAAGAACCCACTTCCAGAAATACGAAGGATCTTACTTATCTTATCTTGAACCTGGTTTTTTTTTTGTCACTGTCTCATGATGATAGCACAAAATTAGAGATCGTCGGAGTCTTTGGGATTCTACTGCTCATCCATGGCTTGATGAATTCAGTGGCCACGAGGATCATGGCCAAATTAACACGAACCTTTATCTTCTTCAACTTCGGAGGCACCTTTGCGATTATCCTAGCTCTTTGTCTGAGTGGACCGCCCAAACAAAGCTTTGAATATGTGTTCACTAAGATCGTCAATCGGACTGGCTGGGACTCAACTCCTCTGGCTTTCATGATGGGCATTCTGAGCTCTGAATGGGTGCGGTCGCTTTCCTTCCTTCCTTCTCTACTCGCGAAATTCCACAATTAAGTGGATTGGTTGACATCTGATCTCCGTTTTTTTTTTTTTTTTTGTATTCCATCCTAGACGTTGAGTGATTATGATGCAACAGCACACATTTCCGAAGAAATCAAAAATCCAGCGGTGGCAGCACCTCTGGCGATCATGACGGCCATCAGCGTCAGCGGAGTCTTGGGCTGGTTCCTGAATCTAGTCCTAGTATTATATTCCCCAGATATAGCCTCCTTGACTACACCATCATCAAGCCAATCGAACGATGTGGGGTTGCTGAGAAATGCCACAGACATGGCCAGCGCATTCGCCAACACCACGTCCATCTCCACTTCGGACGCATCAGCATCAGCATTGCCAGTCGCAGCAGCAGCAGCAGCATCTTCTCCTTCTTCGTCGTCATCATCATCTGATTTTTTATTGGTCGCCACAATCCTCTCTCAAAATCTAAGCACCGGGTTATTCTACTTCACCTGGACCTTGATCTGTATCAACGCATTTTTCCAAGTCAATGTAGTCCTGCAAGCTTGCTCGAGAACGTTGTTCGCTTTCAGCAGAGATGGCGGCCTCCCCGACCGTCAATTCTTTGGAAAATTATCCAAGCGGACTAAGATCCCCTTCCGGTCCGTTTGGGTAGTCATTCTTATCTCTCTCTTCTTTGGATCGCTGGATTTCGTCTCCACCGTCGCTGTCAACGCCGTCTTCAGGTAAGCCTCTTTTTTTTTTTGGGAAAAATCAGCTTGGAAGATGGAAAAGTCTTCTGATTGCTTGTCCCTTGATGATCTTCCCTCATTCCTTTTTTCTTGCCGTGGGACCGGGCTCTATCACTTTTTCCTGATGATAGTGTTTGTACGATTGTAAGCTTTTTTTCCAACTTATCTTCACCATCCAAACCTTCCCCAAAAAAGGGCGGGGGGGGCACAAGCAGAAGACTAAATTGACTGAAATTTTCTGATATTGGTTCTCCTTGAATCTTTAAATTCAATTCCTCAAGGCCTTAGATTCTTCGTATGCAATCCCGATAGCGATGAAGATGATTTTCAAAAACCATGCAGATGTAAGTCTCTTCTTCTTGATGACTTGCTTATTTCCTTCATCTAAAAAAAAAAAAGTAAGAATAGATCAATTGTTGATCAAGTTGTCATTAATCATCTTGCCCTACTTCTGCTTCCAACAATGATGTAATACCCCCCAAAAAAAACAATCATGATAAATTATAATGATAGGTGAAATTTAAGCCAGGTCCATTCAGTTTAGGCAATGGGATCATCATGTGGTCGATCAACTCGATCTCGGTCTTATGGGTGATTTTCATCTCGACCATCTTAGCCTTGCCAATGGTCCAACCGGTGACTGTAGAGAATATGAATTATTCGTCAGTATCCATATTTTTAAAATATTAGAACAAGTAAACAAACCTCGTCTTGCTCATGAGTTTTTCCTTTTTTTGCTTTGATATCTAATCTATTACATGTGATGATTTAGCTCAATCATCACCGTGACAGTGATCGTTTTAGCCAGCACATGGTACTATCTGCACGCCTTCAAATGGTACAAAGGTCCCAAATCCAACCTCTGATCATCAGACTTCTTCTTTCCTTAATCAATCAAATGTCGCCCTTCTTGCTGTTTGCTTCACATATCCATAATTATTTCCCCCAATAGAATATGCCAATTTGTCTGTAAGGCTCTATGTATGTATCTTATATGTGTATGGAATCCTCTCAGATTTTATTTCTTGATCATGTCTCATCCAAAAAAGTATCCCTCTCCCCCTCCGACTGCGTTGTATGTAGTACAAAAAAGTGAAAATGGAGCTATGGTGCCTCAGCAAAGAGAAAAAAATGAAAAATGAAGAAAAAGAACAAAGATGAATCAAACAGAGCCTGATCTCAGAACCTAAAAAAGTGAAAAAAGAGGGAGAGGAGAGGAGAGGAAGATTAATTGATGAGAAGAAGCATGATAACGACCAAGACAAAAGAGGGAAAATGGGGTATTGAGGAGGGTGAGATCACCGAGACCATTGTTTACGATCAGATGAAGAAGGATTAGAGCGGGATCCATTTGAGCGATAAAGTTCTTTCGCGAGTGCTTTACTTCCGAGTTGTTCCTTACGACGATTAGCATTGCTAGGTCTCCTGACGAGGAGTTTTTTCTGGGCCGGACCTTCTTGATCCTGATCTTGATCATCTTCTTCTTCGTTCTCCTGTCCACCTTCAACCCCCGTTGTTTGCATCCCATCTGTTTCGTCCCGCTTGTGTTTCTTATTCTCGGTATTCTTTAAGGATCCCATTGGGATATTCACCGCCGGGGGGACACTAAAGCCAAACGCTTGCCCGACTTTGTTTAAATCCAGCTTGTTCACATCAAAGATCTTCTTCAAACTATACGAGGCATATGATTGGATATACGATCGAAATCCATCTCGCGCCGATTGATGTAAATAATAATTCTTCGAAATCAACTTGGTGAGCTGCAATGTTGTGATTTTTTTGGGGAGAAGTTCAGATCAAAATATGTGAAGGGAGGGTTAGTTGATCGATCGATGGATTGATTGATTTGAGTTAAAGTTGGCTTGGAAAAGAAAAGAAAAAGGAAACACTCAACTTGTCCTTGAACGTTAGCCAATTTATCCATAGGGAAGCTGTATTCATTTAGTGGGACCTTAGCCATTTTGAGGAACCTGAGGAATCCCAATTCACTGGGCAACAAGAACAACAGACTCCGTCCAGATTTGCCCGCCCGCGCGGTCCGACCGACCCGATGGATATAATCACGCGGATCATCGGGCGGATCGAATTGGATGATCCAGTCTACTTTAGGGATATCTAATCCTCGGGCGGCTACATCCGTACATAGTAAGATCCCAGTCGTTGCATTGCAGAATTCGAAGAACGTGTTTGTTCGTTTTTGTTGTTTTTGTTTGCCCTGCAAAGAGATACCAAAAAGACACATACTCTGTAAATGTGAAGAAGAGGGAAGTTCATAATGCCAGCACTGATGCTGGAGACTTACGTGAAGATCCAAGACAGGGATGTCGATATAGTTGAGTAATTCGGCATGATATTTGACCGAGTTACAACTAGAGAAGAAGACGATGACCTTCTTCTTGAGACTTTTCTTCAAGAAGGTGAAGAGCAAGAGGAATCGTTTGTCGCTATCACAGACCACATAGCCCTGTTCGAGTCCCTGGACGGTGGCCTCCTGTTTGTCGGCATCGACGTTGATGTAGAGTGGTCCGGGGCGGAGTGAGATGCGTGCCAGGTCTTGGACTTTGGTTGTTTGAGTGGCCGAGAATAACATCGATTGGCGGTTCTCGGATGGGAGTAATGAGATGATCTGTCGCATCTCATCTTCAAATCCAATCTCTAAGATCCGATCGGCCTCATCAACCACTAATGCTTTGAGGTTTGAAAACACAAATCCTTTGGTATTCTATTGGGCAAGAAACAAAAAGTAATCAGCTTCTGAAGTACACAAACTGCATTGTTCATAATGTCAAACTGACCTGAAGATGATCTAATAATCGACCAGGAGTACTGATTAATAGATTGACTCCTTTGACCAATTTTTCAGCTTCTGCTTTCCGATTAGCGCCACCGATGACAATGGCGAAGGTTTGACTATGATGTTTCATGAGTTCTTGGGCGACACCAAAGATCTGGAGGGCCAGTTCTCTAGTAGGAGAGACGATGATCGTGCCGGTACCTGTAGTAAAATTGGTTGAGGAGAATGATTCAAGTTAGATGAAGCTAGGGTGAGAGAGTGGTTTCGTAGAGGAGAGAACGAACCGTTCCTAGGTTTGAACTGGAGTCTACTGAGCATTTCGACGGCGGGGATGAGGAAGGCCAAGGTCTTCCCACTACCAGTTCGGGCCGCACCGAGTACGTCTCTTCCGGTCATCAGGGGTGGGATCGTCCTAGCCTGAACTTCGGTCATCTTGGTGAATCCCATGTCTTGGATGGCTTTTGCGGTTGGCGGGGATAGATCTAGTGAGCTGAATTCGCTCGGATAGGCTTCAGGTTCATCGGTTGAAGTCATTGCGGCTACCGGGTCCTTGCTGGCGGCTTGATGGAGCGGTGTTGTTGTTGTTGTTGTTGTACTGTTGTTGAGTGTTTCTTCCTGTTCGGTTGTTGACTGTTTCTGTTTCCGTTTTGATTTTTTAGTTGATTTGTTGTTGTCATCCCGTTCCTCGTCGGCTTCTTCTTCTTGTTCTGGTTCCAAGTAGCTTTGATCGATCTCTGGCTCTTGTAAGTCTTGGTTCTTCTTCTCATTCTGAGTTTTCTTGTTTGTCTGCTTTTCTGTTTTCTTCTTTGACTGTTTTGACATCTTGACTGTTTCTAGTGATGATGTTGATGATGTTGGTGTTGCTGTTTTTTTTTCCTGTTGACCACTACTTTTTGAAAAAAAAGGATGTTGGCTTACAGGGCTCAACCCTAACCTAACCTGACCTCGGACTTGTGGTCACAGCTCAAGAACTCGATATAAGCATATACGTGCATATCCAAAAACAGTTCACCATTTTCAGTCTGGCAGTAGTCAAAAGAAAAAGAACAAGTTCATCAGTGGATATTCATCACATCTTCACAAGCTGATCCTTCATCATGAGTTTCTTTCAAGCTTTATCTGATGGTCAATCATCTCCAAGCTAATCAGTCAAGAGGATGTTCTGTAATTTCTTCATATTTGAGTAGCAACAACATCTTTTGTGTTCATTTTTTGTAAAGCCTGAGCATCTCTGAAGAGAACATCTGAAGAGACGCAGATCAGTAATGGAGGAATAGGGGAGAGTAGATAGTGATTGCCCCTTTCTACTTGGCTATAATACCAGATATTCGTCATCATTAGACAATATCATATAACAGTACTGTGTAGAATTCTGCCATATCACAAGGAGCTTATGTATTTGGTCACAACTCACAAGGCTTGAATCTATCCTTTTTGGCATGCACCATATCATAAGATACAAGCCAAAAAAAGGCAGCTTCATCAAATATTTGGTCTGTTCATTCAAACTGTTCTTATGATGTGTCTGTTTGATACAGGAATTGAGCAGAGGAAATGAAGTGAAGAATGATTTGTTGGAAAAAAAAGGTTGTGCAGAAATCTCACATAAAAGGGGATTTGTGAAATACACATACAGCCTGTCCAAGGTTTGTTGCAAACACCATGGCCTTGTTTTCGTAGGTCAATTAAATCTCATTGATCACACTTTTTGCTCAAATGTGGTGCGGAACTGCACAGGATTCTAAGTGAGAGTTTTGCTAATTGCATAAATTTTAATTGTGAAACAGGCTCATATATGATCCACCAGAGTTGACCTCCTTACCTCTCAAACACCATTGTCAGTGCAAACTACATAAGTAAGCACAATCAGGCAAAACAAAAGAACACCAAGCCTGGAAGTTCACAAACTTATCAGAAGGAGGGACTTAAGACAAAGATGAACCTGCCCGCGTGTCACGGTTGGGCAGTTTTGGTGTAACGGACTTTCAGTTGGATGTACAGCCTGTACATTTTGAGGTATTCACTGAAAGATTTTGAAACTGAAGCAGGTTTCATTTCTTTATAAGTATCAACTTTTTAAATAAATACAATTGATAATATGATAAAAAGAGTTCAGAGCAGTACCTGAAGGCAGTACTGATCTGATAGCCTTGAAGATAACACTTGATAAGAGAAAAATGCCTTCTGAGTAGTTTATTATATTGTTGAGATAAAGATAACTATAGCGACTGAATAAACAGATCGATTCGATGTTAGTCTTTCTCTTAAAATATAATACTTCTTTACCACGAAGAGTAATGAAGATACATTACTTTGAATGACGAGAGTGAACTTCTTGTCTGAGTAACGGTTAATTAATCCTGTCTGTTTAATGATTCGACTAACGTAAGAACATTGACGAAAGACTGATTAATTACTTTTCTCTTTTTTCTACGATAAGAAAAAGGCCATTGATTCTTCTCTCTTCACTCACTGACTAACGGTGGAAAGATTCGAGTGATAAGTTTACGTTCGGTAGGCTTGCTCGAGTAGATGCTAAAGAATATTTAATAATGATTTTTGTTTTAAAGAAAGAATTAGAACTCGATTGTTATCTTGTTCTTATTCTTGTTCTTTTTGATTCAACTCATCGAGACTCACCTAGAGCTCGATGATTGATCATAATCATTATTCTTCTCTTTGCTAATGACGTCATTGACGTCACTACTCAATGTATGAGCTACGATCACGCTTTTCTCTTGTTCAACTGTTGAACAGCTTATTTCTACTGATAATCACACGCTTTGTGATCAGCGCTAAGAGTTTATTTTTCTTTTCAGGAAGTTTATCAATCAATTGATAAACTCACCTGATGCTCTCCTCTTTTGAGGGATCAGACAAGGAATTGAATTCCAACATTCACAAGCTGGGTAGACAGGATCCTAGATCCTCATGATCCCTCTCACCTCATCCAATTTTTAGAGCTTTGTCCTGAAAATTGGATGAGGTGGATTTTTTTTAAGTTGATCAAATTGAAAAAATATTCTCAAATGGTAGGCAGTGAGATTGAAACTGGCTTATGTAAGCTCAGCCAACTTGTGATTTGGCACATTTTCCTTTCAAGTTCTTCAATTGTGTATTTTTCATTTTTTTCCAAAAAAAAAAAATGACACAAGTCAAGACCTCCATGTTGGGCATCTTGAGCCCAACTCAGTTTTCAAGAAATCCACAAGCTTGGTTTTCTATGGTTTTTGGCACAAAAAACAGCCAAAAAACTCAACTGTGACACCCAGGCGCGAATGTTTTGGGCTCAAGCATCTCCTGCACTTTGTCTGTTTGACGGAGAGGCTGTACAAGCTCAAACTTAACACAAGTCCCCCTGGTGGGAGGCCAAACTTATTGCAAGTCTCCCGCTGCGGCGGGCGCATCTGGCAGCGTAGCGCTGGCCAGGCGGTTCCCGAAGGGAACTCCCCGCAGGGGAGACTTGGGCCAGAGGTCGACAAACTCAGGTGCTGAGTTTGAGTTGTTTTGGTGGGAGCGTCACAAGATTTGAAATCCTGATGCTCCCTCAAAACTTTCTTGATGTTTGGTCTGGAATTTTTTAAGACCTGCCTGATCTTGTTGATCAGGCCAAAACTTAGAAGTTGCACCTTGCAACTGTAATTAATAATAAATTTCTTAAATTATGATTTGAACTTTTTTTGAGCTCAAATGCGGGGTTTGCTCAACTTGGGCCCACCAAAAGAAGCCAAGTTGAGTTGAAAAGTCAACCTTTTCAAAAACTTTTATAAATAATTAACAAGCATTACCAAAAAACTGAACACAGGGAAATATGGGCAAGACACAGGCATCCCCTGTCGCAGGAGGAAATTAGATGAGTATGATTAAAGGAGTGCTTAGAGTGGAAAACACACAAAAAAGTGAGTTTTCAGTTGAATTTTGAAAACTCAGCACGCGGGGATTGTCACATTTGTCTTAGGCCTCCACTGGCGTGGACAGCTCCGCTGCTCGCTACCGCTCCCGCCATGGAGGCCTAGTTAGGCTTGGTGGGAGGCTCACTGGTGTGACTGGCTGGGCGCGAAGCGCCCCCTGCTGCAGGGAGGGACTTGAAACTTAGAACGCTTTCCCGGTGTGAGGCAGAAACACGGTTTTGGTGGTGGCAACCTTCCTTTCCCCACCACTCATTCATTATAATGCTATTTTTTTCTCGCAGACGTGAACCATCCTATTGAAGCCATGTCTACATTCATTGGTGCCAATCTTGACTATGATAGCTCAAAACTTCCAACATCATTTTCTTTTCAATTTTACCTGATGGCCAATCACTTTCATGCCAATCAGTTAAGAGAATCCAGTTACAATCTGTACTTTAAGATGACAAGTGCAGGCAAACAATTCAATCACTGTCGCTTCCATCAGTTGAGTCAGCCTGTGAGCTGGATCTTCTTTTGAGTACAGGGCCTATGAAGATCGATACTCGAGTGGTTAGCGAAAGATGAAGTGTGATTGATGACTATGAATTCGAGGTTGCAGAGGTAAACGAGTGGGCACAATGAAGAACTTACGTGGCAAAACTGCAGTAGTAGCTGGTGCAACAGGTGCGACTGAGGTAGATGAGATGCTTGGATTTTCACTGATCCCTCTTTGTTGTCCGCCGGTGTCGTTCTCATCATCAATCCGTCCACCAGGTGTGAAAGGTTGATGATCATCTTCCCCATCGTCCCCTTCCTGTTCATCGCCATCTTCCTCGCCATCTGCGCCATCCTCTTCTTCACTGTCTGAAGATGAGGATGCTTGTGATGAGTTTCTTGATCGGTTTCGGTCTTTCTTCTTTTTCCTCTTGACTTTCGTCACCGGCGGGGTAGCCACGTGGCTCTGTGAGAGTGGATGCGGGACAGACGGGGCGGGTTTGTGGGACGATGTGCCGGCCATACCTATCCCTTGAAGATGAAGGCGCTGAGTGGCATTGTTAATCGCATTGGAAAGTAAAACTTCATGTTCGGCTGGACTCAAGGGTACCGCCGGTAGTTTCTTTGGTGGCCGGCCACCTGGATGATCAAGCACAATAAAATTATCCTCAATGGTGAACATTAGCATAAAATAAAACAAAAGTACTGACGTCGCTTCATGTTTCCACCTGTTCTGTTTCGGGAGACTGCAGCAAAGTCTAATGAAGTATGGCTGCTCCCCTTGGCGACTGACTCGGACTCACTAAAAGGAAACAAAATATATCATCAGTTTACTCTGATTAGAGAGGAGGAAATATCCAAAGATGTTGACCACTAACCTGAAATCAGATCGTATACCTTTCTTGGCTGCTTGACCACGTCCACCTATCCCCAAACATTTCGAAAGGTGTGGCGCAAAACGGGCTGCTGATACCTAATGAGCCAAAGTCGAAAGATCAGTTCTTGGTCTTGATAGGCTGTTCAAACACTCAGTTCCAACTTACCTCGCGACCACAGACCGGACAATCATGGACCGGGTCAGGATTGCTTTTCTCATTACCATTTTTCTTCTCGTTTGCGTAAAGTTCTGTTACGGAAAATAATTCGAAAAATTGAGCTTGTCTGATTATCATTTACACATCCCCCGACTGAATCCGCTCATCCGGTTTCTCACAGGGAAAAAAAGAACAAGGACGGCAACCGGATAGGACCCATTGTAGATGGATCACAGGGCAAGAACGGGGAGTCGGATCGCCAACCTTGTTCCGCAGAAAAGAGATGGAACTTTTTGGCTCGTTTGAATTCCAACACGCATATCTTCCAAATCATCTCTTCCAATAGTCCATTGAAGACCGAATCGACGAGCATTCCGATGCCATCATCCTGCGAAATTGGGGCTTGGTTGCCAACATCTGGGGGAGCTCGTTGGTTGAAATATGGCCTGGTTTCTCCGGTGCTGCTAGATTGGTCAGAAGGAAGCAGCTGCTGGTTGTGGGGGCTGTTGTGAATGTTGTTCATCGAGTCAAGAGGTTGGGTGTGAGAAGCTCGGTTGTTGGAGGTGAAGTTGGCTTGAGTGTGAGGTTCTGATCCGGTGCGCCGGATCTGAACGTGGGTTATCCGACGGCAGAACTACCAGATTCCCCGGTCTTATTCCGGATTCCCGCGGATTCAAGCTCGTTTTTTTAACCCTGTGACTCGTGAGGCTGTGCCAAGTGCGCTTTGGCTCAGTCCTCATGATTGGCAGGTGAGCGCAGTCTGCACCAAATTCCCCAGTTGAATTCCTCCTTGGCAGGTAAGTACAAATTGTAGTAAAAAATCTTTCTCAGCTGGTATTGTAAGCACAGTGTGTACATACCTACCAAGGAAGAGTCTTCCTTTCTTAGTGGGTATATCATGCTTTACCTGCATACCCAATGACAGTCCAATCAAGAGGAAGGGAGGAAGAAAAACAAAAAATTGTATCAAAAATACAACCCTTTCCATTGGTACAGCTGCTGATTGCTGGTCTGATTATATTCCTATGAAGACTGGATTTACAATAGATCATATTCATACATTGTAATATTACAGATGGCAGAGACAGTGGAGCATTGGATGATATTGACTCTTGCAAACCTCCAACATTCAATATGAGATCTCTGGAAACTCTTAAAAACATAACAATCTAATGTGTTCCCAACTGTGAATCTATTTCTAGTTGCATATGTATCACTAGTATTTGCCCCCAATTTTGGGGAGTTTGACTTGGTGACCTTGCTTTTGCCCCAAATGTTGTTTTATCTGTTCTACTCAATGACCTTCCCCCCCCCCTTTTTTTTTTTGGGGGGGGGGGGGTTGCTTGAATTGGGCACCTGTCTTGGTTTAATGTTGGCTTTGACAAATGTGAATTGGACTCGGAGCTCAATGCTGGATACTTGATATGCTATAATTATGTTGATTTTTGCAAATTTGTTTTATGAATTGAAGGAATTTCAATGCAAAAAAACTCAATCTGTTTTATCACTTTTTCCAATTTTCAAAGGAAGGCCTCTCTAAACTCCATACGTCTTTTGTTCCAAATTTCTCCTTCCAATGTATTTCCCTGTACTGTCAAATTTCACCAAAGAATACAAACCTCCACAATCTAGTTTGTGTTTCAGAGATTCAATCATAGAATTCCAGTAATCATTACTTGCTGAGAAGAAGCATTCTTGATGGAATTTTGTGTACCAATACTCAAGTAGAGCAAGTGAGACCCAAACAACCCTTGAGAATGCCATGGGATGACTCAAGTATTCATTCACCAGGTAAATTTGCACCTCACCAAAGTCTTCATATTGGAATTTATCATTCTCCTGATAAATATCTCCAATGATTGGAAGGCTGTTTCCCTCTTTCCCAAGAAGTATTTTATTGAGCCAATCACTGAATGAATTGAGGGCATCCTTTAGAACTATTCCATTATGTGACTTCCTCTGAGAGATCAAATCATGGTGGCATATTTTCAAATGGGTGTCTAGTGAATTAAACCTGCTTAAAATGGTACTTATTCTTCCAGAGTTTGGTTTACCTCCAACTCTGATTCTATATCTGAAGAGCTCATTGAATTTTTCTCTGTGTTTCCATATTCTAGCTGAAATACCTTCAACTTTTATGGTTTGTTTTCTGAAATCACTATTTCCAATTGTAAAAAGATCCCTGTCTGGTTTGACTGATCCATCTCCAGATGAATTCCTTTCAACCAACTTTTCAGGAATCATTGTGGCTGGAAATTTGCTTAAATTTGGAACTTTCAATTTTTCAAGGCTATCCCAAATTTTATCATTTACATTTTCTTCATCAAAATTTATCTCAGAATTGATTGATTTGTATAAAGATAAAATAATATGTATTTCTGGACTGCATCCAAACTGGTTATTTTTGATTTGTTGCCATATGTATGGGTGAAACTCTTTGTACCATGCTTTAATGATTAAAATAGAAGCCTCAAGAGAATATGCACTAGGTTTGTTCCTGGATATTTGTTCAAGCAATATCTTTTGTATCATTCCAAACTCTTCCCCTGACTTCAAGTCATTCTCTGTTTCAACCACTCCAAAAACAGGGAAGCTGTTTGGTGGTCTGAATGCCTGATCAAACAGCCAGAACAATAATTCTCTGTTTGAAGGAGAGTTGAATAGTATGTATTTTTCCAAAATAGGCTCATTCAAAACAGCTGTATTGATGAGAATCATCCAACTAATGATATTTTTGAAATTATGAATCATGTAACTGGGGGTATGCTTGATTCCCTTTCTCTCACCCACAACCCTTATCAAGAAACAACTAGAGCCTGGAACTGGTACCTTTACAGCAGGTTGTCCCTTGATTATGTAATCTTTCCAATTTTTTTGTATGTTGAGGCATTTCTTATATGATGCTGATAGTCTCATTTGCATCAAAAACTTCAGCACTATCTCATTCAAAAACGTTTCATTTATCTTTCTCATCAAAGAATTCAGGTTCATAGTATGAAAAGAAGTATTGTTGATTATGTCTAGTTCTATAATTTTTTCACACCAACTTGCCATTTTATTTGAAAGAAATTTAAGGGGAGATGAAATCTTCATACTTTTTGGATGGAGAGAACTAGGTAAATTGATTCCTGAAGCATCTCTAAGCAAAGATTTAGAGATTTCTGTCTTCCAAGGGCTTTGAGTGTCTTTACTTCCTGGTACAATTCTGTTGTGATTTGGTATAGGTGTGCTGTAATGGGAATGCTGAAGATAAATACCATAGTGATCCAGTGGTCTCGAGATTGACACCCCATTGTTGGTTGTTCCTAAGTTTCTTGACTGTGTTATAGATTCAAAGAGATGACTTGGTACTGATTGTAAAATTGGAAATGTCCCTTGAATGCCTTGTGGAATCTCCAAGGGATAATCATTCAAGGTTGTGGAGGTTAAAATAGCATTTTCTAGTTTTTCTTGATCATGATTTTCTGTTTCATAATTCAGGATACTGGTTCCTGAATCAGGACAGGTTTTTTTTTCAATTTCAATTTTAACATTCACTTTTTAAGCTTGGCTCACTTCAATAAGAAAAGGAGTTTTATTCACCTTGAAAGCCATGCAGCTGAGAAATAACCATAGGATTAGAATCAGAAGCATCTGCTGAGACTGAGTCAGGTGTCCAACTTCCTGCGACATACTCATTTTCTTTCCTGGGTCTTTTTTCTGTGGTTTTATTTGATGGAATTTGATAATCAACTGGTAAAGTGTGAAGATATGAACTTTATTGGAGAAGAATCAAACTGAACTCACCCTTGTTATTTTGGTAGATTGATGAGTGTGGTTGCTGGAGTGCATACAGATCTTCCAGTGGGCGCTTGTGATTTTCTCCACCTTCCAAAACAGATTGCAATTCTGCCATCATTTCTGTTAGGGCCCTCTCATGTTGATTATTGACTAAAGACTGAATTTTATCAGTTTCTCCTGGCCACAAGCTTGGTGGAGCTGATACCCCAAAACTTGGATAGGAAATAGAGCCTAAAGCAAGAAGACCCTGGAGGACAGATAAAAACATCTTAAAGAAGCATAAGTGACAATTGTTGGTTGGGAGCTTTGTTTTGTCTTGAGTAAGGTTTTTTTGGGTGAAAAAGCTGATGCTCCAAATCTAATCCAGTTTCTTCCACTAGGGTATTTAATCACCTTAATCAATCACAAAAAGTCTAGATTCCCCCACATCACTGCTGCAGTAAATTTTGCCACATCAACATGGCACAAAGATTTTAGAAGCAATGTTGATTTGTTTCAAGGAATATTATTTTCCAGTATATCTAATCTTCCCAACAATGACATTGGTAGTGTTTGAAGTTTTGATTGCACCACATTTTAGACTCTTACTGATCCTGTTGATGAAATAGCTATCCTACCTCCTATCAGCAGTAGGCCTCTGTACTACTTGATAAAATAGAGTTTTTTTTATAGTTTAGCAGCCACAATTTGGTCTGCTGAAACCATAGCCCTAGCAATATGAGTGCTGCTATGCTGTTTCACCATGTTCAAAGTTTGCTGTAGAAGAGTGCAGTGACCAGTAAATCCTTGTGAAAAAATGTGGCATTAGTGGAAATCTTTCAATGGAGGTACACCTTGCTATCAGGTTATTGCTCAACAATATTGAAGTCAAAATTGCAACATATTTCAACTCTTACGTGAAAGAGTACTTCAACAAACCAGTCTTGATTGCAAGGAGGCAAACAAGCTGTGGAATTTTTCTTTGTATCTTGTATTATGAAGTGTGGGTTTGAACCGTTGGTGATTTGGGTTGGAGAAATGTAAGGTAAGTGGCCTCCCAGGACAGAGTCCGAAGATGGGTTGTTTTCAGGTATGATGGGCATAATTCTGGGAGCCTTCAAAGCTTGTTGACGGGTTGGGTTAATGGATGTTGAACTTGAGATGTCTGATCCACACATCTATGACTTACGGTACCCATAAGAGTCAAAAGACTGAGGTATCCCTAGAAATATAATGCATTCAAATGTTGGATGACCAAGATTTCTAACCCCAATCAGCTATTTTTCTTTTCTACATACAGTATCAAAGTATGATGACCTTTAAGGCAGGAGTTTGTGATCAAGCACATGAAAAGGGGTTGATTGTAGGAGTCATGCATCCCAGCTCATCCCAGATCTCAAGTGAGGAGCTAGCTAGGAAAAAATCTATGGTAAGGTGAAAAAGATAGATGCTTAAATCTATACACGTTCAAAGCAACACTATCACTTGCTGTGCTCATCCAGCCAGACAACGTTCAAAACTGAAGGGGGCAGTCAACAAAACTGCACGGAGAATGATAGGGCGAGTGATCAACTGGATAAAGTCTTGAAAAAAAAACCCCTAGCCAAGCGATGATAGAGGAAGAAAGTTTAGCAAGTATTATTATAAACAAAAAAACGTCCATAAACGATTTTCCTTCTAAGGTGAATATATAAGAACAGTTATTAGCACAAATATAAAAATCGAGAGAGGAAATGATTAAGATTCCTTTGGGACGATCGATTGGCCCTTGACTTTGAGCAAGCCGACGAGCTCCTTTTGGACGCCCATTCGCTGTCTCAACTCTCCTAGATTATTGACCGATCTCAGATCGTTGACGACGTCCCTGGTCTTGCTGAAGTATACCTCCTTCAACAGGTTCCGCATCTTGATCTCCATCTCCTCGATCAACCTTCCAATGTTCGGAAGATGGGTGGGCGAGAGGCTCGATGATGTGGATGGAGTCACAAGTGGATAGGTCTGCTCGGACTATCATAACAAAAAAAATTAATAATAAAAATCAATTAACAATCGGTCAGAAAAGCAGTCCGTGCTGGAATCACGCGAATTTTCCGCTTTTTTTTTCTCAGTTTTGGATGGTATTGTCTGTCACTCAACTTGTCTCGTCATGCTCCCGGCTAAACTGATGTTTCCAAGTACTGGGTGAGATTGAACGAGATGTAACATGACGGTGGAAGTGAGCTTATAATGAGCATTACGTCCACGTTCGGTGGTTTCGAAGACATGTATAGAGTCCCAAGTTCCACTTAAGTTATCGCTGGGTTGGATAGCTAATGAGAAGGTACAGAGGTGTAAGTGGAACCAAATGTTGTACTGCTTCTTCTTTCTGTGAAAGTCACTTACTCTTTTTTAGTAGGACTACCCCTGCAAAATCTTCATCCAGATCCCATAGATAAACCGAAGAAACTCCACCCTCATAATACCTATAGAAGAATTCAGACAGTCAGCTTGAAGACGTCTAATCTTACTTTTGGGCTCAAATCAGTGGACACACATTTCCCGGTAAACATCAAAACCATCGTTCAGAAGTATCTCCAATTTCCTCAATTTTGGTCCAGGCGAGGTCCCGTCTGGCAAGGGTGGATCGTATTCGTTGGACCAAGGGCTCCTGATTGATGGTATGTATCATATTTCGATCAGAAAGGAAAGACAAAGAAGTGTGAATGGATCTGAAATTGGGCCAGGACTTAGGATTAAGTGAAAGGAGACGAACCGGTATGAATCCTGGTCTCTGTTGTAATCACAATTCAAGAACTCTCTGCCGGTGGAAGGGTCGACTTGAATCTTGAGGGGCAGATCGATGGAGGTGAGCAAGTCGTCGGTATACTCGGGTAAGACGAACAAGAGGCTCTGGAGGTTACTATCGATCTTCTCTGGGGGCAGCCTACGCATGAGATCGAGGAGCAAGTCGAGCTCGGATGTGTCGGAGGCTTGGGCAAGGATCTGGTCCATGGCTGTCTGTTTGGGATCCCTTTTCTGAGATGTTGTTGATTTTCAGCGTGGCTGTTGACCGGAGTGGTACTTTGAGTGAAGCAGTCAGATCAGGAAGACCTGGGCGGGTCGCCCGCTCACTAAGCCCATTAAATCGAGCGCCTTCGGGCACGGGCATCCCTAGATTTCACAGGAGGGCCACCAGACCCGGTCCTGCCGGGTCCACACATTGGGCCGAGGACCCACCACCGCGTTGTTGACAGCTCAGAGCCTCATCCGTAATTCTTGCCACAAAACTTGCTCTCGAAGCAACCCATCTAATTATCTGTTGAAACAGCTTTAGGATGTCAATGATTCTACTGGGACCATGTCTATCTTGATTGGTCTCTTTCATTTCCCTCAAGCTTACCTCGTGTTCATAAATTCTTCTAGCAGTCGTGCTCGCCAAAATTCATGAAACATTCACGATTCTGGATATTTAACCTGCAGGAAATCATATGTACGCACCTTTCGTAATTATCGAAATCAAAGATGGTGCCATGAAAGAGACACCATAATGTTCGCATTTTCCAATGTTGAATCCTTGAAGCGACCTCTCGCCAGTCGGCTTGCTATGTGGTGCCGATGGTCCCCCCCATTATAAGGTGTGTCAAGACCTCGCGAAGGAGGCTCACCCCGCGAGGTCTTCACACACCTCCGATCGAAGTCACTTTGTGTTGAGCTAGCAGAAACGCGCTTTCTTCCTATGAGTATGGGCAAGCAATGCGACACTCTTGCGCTTCTGACGAGAGACGCGTTCCGCAAGTGCCCATAAGTGGAGAGAGACAACTTGCTCCTCCTCCAGCCATGTTGCTTTACAGGAAACTACGATGTCCTACGGATTCCTGAATGACCTTCCGATGGCCCTTCGCGTCCAGATATTGCAGATTGTCTTTCAGCGAATTATTTACCTAACCGCGAGCCGTTTGAAGGAGGTATGTATCCCCAAATGCACTTTCCATTCAAGAGTCTGGTAGTCCTCCTCGACTACATAATTATTTTCTCCAAACGCCCACTACACACAGGCACTGATCTTCTCACCCGCACACTAGTGCCCGTCCCGCCTGCAGTTTCGCACTAGACATATCGGCCTACCGGAATGGTCTAGCAGGGTGAGGTCAGCTGATTAATCAACACATGTAACAGGCAAGAAACGCTGGAAATATCACCTGGAGTTGTCCCTGATCCATTCCCGATTCATGTTATCCCACACCTCCAGCGCGGTTTCGTCGATGCGGGGCGGCCAAAAGCTCCAACAGCGGTCATTTAAAATGCTTGATTGTTAAGGAGTCACGGCCCGCTAGTATACTGCTTGAAGACTTCGTGGAATGCGATATCCGTTCAACATGATTGAAATCTCACGCAACCCTCCAGCTGCCCTCCAGCAACAATTTAATTATCTGATGAAAGTGTAACCTCTAGTGCCAGGTTACAACTATTCAAACAAGCTTCAGCTCGGCTTTCTCTCTAAAATAGTCTCGGAGGCGATTCTTAAGTCGCTGGAGAAACATTTAAATCACCCAAAAGAGAGTAGTCCAACTTGACCGATGCACGAGGACCGCTCATGGCCGTATCAATTTTCTTGCAACGTGGGTTGGTGACACGGTTAGATCGAACTTGAGCCGGGACAAGACATTCTCTATTGCAAGCCAAGCATGAAAGGGCATAAAAGGAGCCACTTGTGCCTCCAGATTTTCCCCATCACGATCTACACCCTCTTCGCTCTGTTCGATTTGCGAGTTTCTTTCAAGTAAGTGATTGATCAAGAGACAAGACTTCTTTCCAATTCCTTGGGTCGCTAATCATCTCAACAATGTCGCCCTTCTTATCTGCCAGACCATCTAATCGAGCCAGAAAAACACCACGTCCGCTCTCCATTTGGTCCATTCCCAGCAGTTGAAGATACTTAATCGTATGTCGTTGATTTCATCTCCCACAACAATCTCCAACATTTTAATGTTCAGTCAGTGGTTAATAATTCGATCTTTTTGTCCTCTCATTACTATAACCAAAGGATCACATATCTTTCGAAAAAATAATGAAACTGCAAGTTCTAGTTTTGTTGGCTGGGGTCTTCGCCATCGTGTTAGCTCAGCCTCAACCGCCAGCTAAGCCAGAAATAAAAGTAGCAACATCATCAAACTCGGAAACGATTGCCCATTCCCGCTGGGGCAATCAGCCAGTCAATCCCCACAAAAATGTCTGGTTGGATTGGACCCTTGACAGTTTAAAAGGACCGGAGCCCCAAAAACTGAAGTATGCAAGTGTTGTACGGCTCAATGTGATGCAAGTCAATCACCAGGGAATGATCAGGATCCACAATCCGACCAAGGACAAGAACAGCCATTACCAACTTGCCGACCATCTTTTTGGCTCCTACACCAGTGTATTGGGTCCCGGTCAAACTCATTTTGTCACCGTTAACGAGAGGGGGACACTAGTACTGTTGTTATAGAAACTTGTCTTCCGTACAAAACTTAATAATCGTTCCTCTTGGCGCTATTTTTCCTACATAATTCAGCTGCCTGATCTAAAGTTGTCTAGAGTTCCTAAAAAATACATAACTAACCGCTACTACTAGTACAATCTTCCCCGATAATTCGTCCAGTCCTCCATCAGCTTTCCTTTAATGTCAGCCTTCCAAATTCCTAGACTGCGATCAAGTAAATAGAATTCCATGTTGAATAACACTTACAGTCCAAAAGTTCAAGTGTGTCGAGTTTTCCTTTTGAATCTTAAACCATGGCAGAAGGCCATCCCACTTGACCAATTCTCTGTGGCTTTGGTGATGTGAGGGCAAGGCGGCTATGTTAATTTATGCACAGACCTCCTAGCGAGTTTTGGGCGACATGCAGAATTCATGTGGAGCCTCAAAATCCATATTTGCGTGCGGAAATCTACAATTGTGGAGTCCGAATCAAATCCTGCATGGGATGCCGAACTGATGGGAAGTCCCCACTTTGTCTAAACAAAGAAATATTACATTTCTTTTGAAATAAAAACCAAGTCATTAATTTGTATTTTCAATAAGCGTTCCATCGAGCAATGATCCACATCAACTTGGCATCCTTTCAAATTGTACAATGAGCGTCCAAGCTGCTGAGAGGTCAATTAACAAACATAGTACATATCCTTATTTTTCGGGAGACACCCCAAGTGAACAGCTTGAGAGGAGTTTATGCTGACTGAGTTTGAGCGCAGTGAGTCAACATCTTGATTGGTGAATAGGACACTCTCATTTTTTTCCGTGTCAAAGGCAAAAATAATAACACTTGACAAACTCATAAAGATGAAACACAAAAAAGAACAAGTTAACAATCATAACAATTAGACAGAAGAAGAACTGGAAGATTTATCATCAGATTGTGCTGTAGATGATGATGGTTGTGAAGATGGGTGATGGAAATTAGACTCAGTAGCTGGAGATTTTGAATTTCTTTCAATGATCGTCAAAGATCTGCGGTGTTTTTTGCTTCTCAGATGAGCCTCCCAATTCACCTCTTCGATCAAGAACGGTTTATTTTTTTCAGTCGTACAAGTCTTGCATACTTTTAATTGTAACTCTTTCAACGATCTCGTTTTTCTTAATTTTTGATTCATTCAAAAAAAAAGTTGAATTGTTAATCAGCATACGATCTCTACCTGTGTGGCTTTTTTTGGGTTTGGGAATCAGTTTTTTCTTTTTGTGGAGGGGGGGGGGGTCTCGACTCTTTCAAACTTACTTTACTTGTGATTCAGAGAGTATAGAATTTGCGATTGAGGATATTGATTTGGGTGATGGTAAATGGTTGTAGTTCAAAAATGCTATCATAATTCATGCAATCATTAATGTCAACTATCAATAAAACATCCACTGACCGATCCAAATTGACTAGAAAAAATTAGGGTGGGAGAGACGTACCAGATAAGATATTTTGAGCGGGGATCAGGACGTTCTGGTCCCACTCATCCACCCTACTAGCATCCAAAATGTAAGTCATCATGTGTGACTCGGCGTTGTTCGGAGGATCTAGAGTTTCGGAAGAAGATCCAAACTTGTTCAGTTGAGGTAAGAACTTATTTTTCATCCACTTGACTTGTGATTTAGCGTATTGTCGGGTTGCAATCTTCGTCAATTCTGTCGCTTCCGCAAGCTTTTTTGATTGTAATGGTTCTGGCTCTGAGTCAGCATCTGTGGTGCTTAGTAGTGACTCAAATTCCCGATATCCTGCATGGTCATGACCGTTTGGTTAGATATTGTATGTAAGTAGTGTGTATATCGACAGATGAACGTTGAGAATAGGGAAATGCTTCGCCTGCTAACCAATGGCTTGGAATGGGCCTCGAGAAAAATCGGTCCGAGTTTGGTTGCCTTCAGTCAATCTCCCTCGCATTATTTTCAAGTCTCTGACCTCGTTCATGAGACCGTTCTGCAGATGGAGCATGGTCATCATTTCTTTCAGTGAGACTTCGTTTGTTCCGGCCATTGGAGAAGATAGATACAAGCCTAGAGATCCCACTTACTTCAATCATTTTATCCACTCGAGCATCCAACCTAGGCAGCAGCTGTTCGGTTTCTGAATATAACCAGAAAACCAATGTGCGATAACTAAATATAACAGACAAAAAAAAAAAAAGAAAATAAGAATCGTGAACACTCCCCAAACAAGTTCAAAAAGTAGAATCATGTGATAAAAAAAATACATGACTTACGGGATCCTCTCCTCTTGAGATTCACTTGCTCGATTATCGATTTGGTCTTGTTCAGCAACTAAGTTACTCATAAGTTTGCCGGAGCACAGAGCGACCTCGAGACTTCTCCGAACTTTTCTCAAGTCTCTCCAATGCCATCTTCCGGCCATCACGGGATCGATAGATTGGAGTGCCTCATGAAGACCGATGCAGAGGTCTTCTGCGGTAGCCTGAGGGGGTTGATATTTCGGAGGTAAGAGCTCGATGGGGAAATCCGGTGGGAACTCTTTGGGAGACGAGAAGGGCGGCAGATGGGGTAATAAGAAGACTAGTCGTAAATGATCGAGCGAGATGGATTTTAGGCTGGCGAGCAGATTGGGGTCGAACCCGTTCTGTCTGCATCGCTCGAGAATCTCTTCCGAATCGTCCAGGATCGAAGATTGATTAAAATCAGGCGATTTGGTCGCATGTATGTCTTTCTTCGTCATGAGCTCAGAGAGGGCATCGGGTGACTGAACATCTTTGGTCAATCTGCCAGGTAAGATTAGATTTTGGATGTAATAACCAGTCCCTCCGACAAGGATTGGTAAAGAACCTTTGTGATCGATTTCTGTGATCTATCAAAGGCATACAAACAGCCACAGTCAGTGATTAAGCTCAAGCTTTGATTGGGCGAACGAACACGAAGAAAGCGTGATTTATTAAGGATAGAATGTTTCACACCTGACTTTTTTACTCGCATCGTCTCTGAATCTTTCGACGGTATAATCCTGATCCAGGTCCAAGAAGCTCATGAGATGATGTGGGATGCCGTTGGTCTCATTGGATGTGATTTTGTTGGTCAAGATATCGAGTCCTTTGTAGACTTGCATCGAGTCGCCATTGATGATTTCCGATGTTCTGGTCGGACTGAGTGCGCTGGCGAGCTCGATGGCCAGTTTCGATTTCCCGGTCCCGGTGGTTCCGAGGATGACGACCAGATCCGGCTTGGCCATGGCTCGTCTTCTTGCTCGTCGATAAGCTGGCGGAGGATGGCTGTAGACAGAGATTGATCTGGTAAATCTGATGGTTCCGATGTTCAATCGGGCCGAGAGTTTCATCGGGATGCCGGCTGACAATCGTTGTGGTTCCGAGGCTCACTGCAATCTGAATCGCGCCCCATTGGAACCACTTCATCAAGCCCTGGTGACTTCAACATCTCAAAGCTTTGAACAGTCTCTCCTAAAATCCCTGATCATGTCATCTTTCATTGGAAACTCAGCCATTGCTTTTTGTAGAGTAAGAGCCTTTCTTCACTTGCCACCTTCGAAACTTTCCTTCACCAGCTCAATCAAGAAAACGCACTGGGAATGCCCAATCCTCACCCTAGATCAGTTTGCTGAACCAAATGTAGCACCCAAATACCAAACAACTGCAACCACCACCAGTGCTTTATCACAGATTTCATGAAAAACATTGATTTGCTTTCCAGAACTCACAGCCCTATAGACCCCCAGAATCTATGGTTATTTTTGAAGAACTCTTTGAAAGTTACAGCTCTCTCTTCAATAACCCCCTCAAATACTTCTTTGGATTGACCTCTCACGAATTTTCAGCTTAGGCTTAGTAATGGCAGCCCACAGTTGTTATCTATAATCCTAAATTCAGGGCCTGTACTGTAGGAATGAATTTTGAAAAATGGGCATTTTGTCTGTCCTGGACACAAAATTTGAAAATAGGGGGAGAGATCTGGTGTTGAAATCCTTCATTTTTGGGCTTATAACTGTTGAATGTTTGGCAAAAATGTCCAAGAAGGATACCTTTTTTGGCTCTTGCTGAGAGGGCTCAAGTGCTCACAGACAAACTTGAAGAAGGGCTCAAGTGCTCCTTCAGGAACAATTAAAAAGAATAAAGAACCAATGGCTTTAATTTCTTAGTATCTAGGGGATTTTATAAGTAGTCTAGATACAACATGCTCAAAATGTGGGAGCAGCATATTGAATAAGAAACAGACATCAATGATGAATAGCAACCAGTGTAAAAGAGTGACATGTAGAGAATGAGAGAGCTTGAGTGAAATTTCAACAATAACTGGCCTTTGGTGATACTAGATAGTCATTTTTGCAATTACAGGAGAGTTTGAGGAAAATAAATTCTGGAAAATTTGAATTTTCATACTCTTGTCAGTGATGGGCCGCTACAATACACTACACTAAATGACCCACTATAATAGCACAGAGGTCCCTTTAAACAGTGTGCCAACACTGTAGTTTTAGAGTGCTATTAGTCCCATTGTGCTGTGTTATGCTGTGCTACAGTGCTTGTAGTGGCAAAAAAGGCCAAAAAAATGCTAATATGTGCTGTTGGGCAGTGTAGTGGGCCCTTTTGTGTGGCCTGAACACATAGTGTTGGTGAAGTCATGGCAGAATTCTGCTGTGCTACACTTAATGTTGGCAGAATTCTGCTATGTTACACTGCACTAATGTTACTGTTAACATAGCTGGCCCATTGTTACTCGGAAATACTCACTCTTCTAGTAGTTCCCCCAAACAATCTAGATTGTCTGAGTTCCTCTTCTCAATGAAATTGCAGTGGATTTGAGAGGTACACTATTGATACAAGGATATTGAATGAGGGGAGTGTTGAAATAATGGCCAACAGATACCAAATTTTAGGATGAGAAAAGGAAAAGACAGTGAGTGTTTATCTCACTGGAATGGCACAGGTTTTGCGGAAAATGAAGGAAGAACCAATGATGATCATTTCTTGTAACTTAGTCAGTTTAAATGTCAGCTATGAGTATGCTACACTGGTTTAAATAATATAAAAAACAGGTGCTATCACTGTGCTGAAGGACTATCAAAGAAAAAGATTACTCTTTTTCACCCTTTATATGTGGTACAAATTCCACAAAGGTTAAGTCCACACTCCTTTAAGATTTTTTTTCTAATGAACCAAATAACAGGAGATTATAACAATTAATAAAGGGGCTTGGTTAAACGACTCCCAAAAAATGGAGAGCCGACTCCCAAGCCCCGGAATCCCCGAAAAATGGGAGTCGAACTCCCAAAACCTTCGACAGGTTTGGGAGTCGACTCCCTAAATAAATAATAATAAAAAAAAATGAAATTCCCCGGTTGGTGTAGGAGTCGATCCTCCAAAACCAACCGGGGCTTGGGGGTCGATGAAACAAAAGACCCCCACAGAAGCGGCCGGGAGGATTCCTCCCGGCCACTCAGATTACACACCGATGGCCGAGAGGAATCCTCTCGGCCGTTGAGATTCTGCTCTCAGCGGCCGAGGTGATTTCCCTCGGCCGTCGGCTGTCAAGAGTATACACCTCGGCTGTTGAGAGCGTACACTCTCAATGGCCGGGAGTGTACCCTCGGCGTCAAGAGTGTACACTCTCAATGGCCAAGGTGTATACTCTCGATGGCCGACGGGGAAACTACCTCGACCGCCAAGGGAAACCACCTCGGCCGTCGAGAGCGTACACTCTCGACGGCCAGGAGTGTACACAGCCTTTGAGAGGGTGTACACCTCGGCGGTCAAGGTAGTTTCCCCGTTGGCCGTCGAGAGTATACACCTCGGCTGTCGAGAGCATACACTCTCGATGGCCGGGAGTGTACCCTCGGCCGTCGAGAGTGTACACTCTCGACAGCCGAGGTGGTTTCCCTCGGCCGTTGAGAGTGTACACTCTTGACGGCCGAGGTGTATACTCTTGACAGCCGACGGCCGAGGGAAATCACCTCGGCCGCTGAGAGCAGAATCCCAACGGCCGAGAGGATTCCTCTCGGCCATCGGTGTGTAATCTGAGTGGCCGGGAGGAATCCTCCCGGCCGCTTCTGTGGGGGTCTTTTGTTTCATCGACCCCCAAGCCCCGGTTGGTTTTGGAGGATCGACTCCTAGACCAACCGGGGAATTTCATTTTTTTTATTATTATTTATTTAGGGAGTCGACTCCCAAACCTGTCAAAGGTTTTGGGAGCTCGACTCCCATTTTTCGGGGATTCCGGGGCTTGGGAGTCGGCTCTCCATTTTTTGGGAGTCGTTTAACCAAGCCCCTTAATAAATTGTAATAGTTGGATATTTAAAGCAATTATAATTGGTAAGAAGCAGCTGGCAAGCACTTGAGCTGATTGGCTACTTGTCAGAGGTGGTAGTCTTGCAGCAACTGCTTTATAAGGAATTTTAGTGAGGGATGAGAGGGGAATTTCAAAGTTACACACTAATAATTCCAGTAGTAAAAGGTTGATTGGGTTTGGGATAACTACTCTAAACGTAGGAGGAGAATATTCACTGTAATTACTAAGTATGCTGTGGGTGAATATGCTGAGGAACCAATCTTAGGCCAGGAATGGCCTGCTTTTATATTCTAGAGTCCCCCTTGGGGGCATTCTTAGAATATTCTAGAATGTTTATTTAATGTACTACAATAGTAGTTCTCTCATGATGTAATGAGAATATTGTAGTAGATTAAACACAGCATTATCTATGTCCCCATGACATCATGATGCATTGTTATAGCCAATTACATCATGTGTCTACCTATAATAGAATAATACTGAGGGAAATTACCACACACTTGACACAGGTGGTTATTTCTACAATTTTGAATTATAGTTACACTTGTATTTGTAACTATGTGTTTTAATATTTCCTTTCATCTTTATTTTGTATTCTTTTTTAGATTATTTTATATTTTTATTCCTACTAACCTCAAGGCTCTTGATTTCCTAGAAGGAGTAGGAATTTGGGGGTGGTTCCAGTGAGCAACCCCCTCTAAAATATTATAACATTTATAAAATACTATCCTAGTTTTTCTTATTATTGAAGGGCATTAATAAAAAACCACATTTTTTCCGCGTTTACACACGGTTTTGCTGCGGCACAGCGCACGCGGTTTCCGCGTTTAAACACGGTTTTGTAATTAATTTTTTACCGCTTATTTTTTGAGGTTTTTTGAATTTTTAAAATTGTTTCCTAGGTTTCCAAGCGCGTAAAATTTAATGGTAAAAACCATTTTCCATAAAAATGAGTTTTAATTATTAATGATTTTTTTCACTCATTTCTCAATTAATTGTTTGCAAACATGTTTGTACCTTATTTTTTATGCTTTTTTGGAATTTTAAAATTATTTCCTAGGTTTCAATGTGCGTAGAATTTAATAGTGCAATCCTTTTTTTTAAAACTCAACGGTTCATTTTTAAGACTGAAATTAGACCCATTTTTTCACTTATTTTTTACAGCTTAATTTTCATTATTTTTTGACATTTTAAATTTATTTCCTACACTTTAAGGCATGTATAAAATTATGGTAACAACCATTTTTCCCCAAAATGAAAACTATACCTTGAATGCTGCATTTGACACATTTTTTTAATTAATTCATCACTTTTTCACCTAATTGTTTGCATACATGTGTGTACCTTATTGTTTATGCTTTTTTGAAGTTTTAAAGTTTCTTCCTACATTTAAAAGTGTGTAGAATTTAATGGTAACATCCAATTTTCTTAAAACTCAACGGTTCATTTTTAATACTCAAATTAGACACTTTTTTCAATTAATTCTTCACATGTTAATTCTCAGTATCTTTTGACATTTTAAATTTATGTACATGTGGTCGTTGGAGCCTTGGCCAAGTGAAATGAGTAAACAATCTTCAAGGCAAAGTGGGAGATGATTCCGTTGAGATTGGCGATCAACAGAGGCAGGCCGGTAAGTCTTTTGTATTGATGCTGCGCAGACTCAATGTATCTTTTGTGGAGCTGGCTGTCAATGGCCTGGTGAATTTGCTTGACTACTGCTGCAAAGGAGCCTGTTGAGGAGCTTATGAATTGTTTCAGGTATGTGTGGAGACTTTCAACTCTAGACGTGATGTGGTTACCAAAGTGCGGGTGCCAATCGATCAAGTATGCGACAAAGTGCTCCTTCAGAGGAAGAACGACCGATATCAAGTATGAGGCCGTATCTGGATTCCACGTTTTGGAGAGCTTGGCGTAATTCTCCACGTACTCCTTCAATGTTGGTGACAGTCTCAATTTATTCCATGCCGATTCAAATGTTGCCCATTTGTCCTCGCTGTTGAAATGCTTGCGGCAACTCTTCTCAATGTTCTTCTA